TGGATTGCCAGTGCCTCAGCCATTTCTAGATGTCTTGATTTCACTCTCTTTGGTAGGTTTGATCGGATCTTGTATCTGACGACTTTGACGGACTTTTCAGATGGGGCTGAATGTTCATAACTCATCAGATGTTCTGTTATCGATCTGTATACCCCTTTGTGTTCTCCCTTTGCTAACCATGCTGGTTTTGATTTCATGCACATCTGTAGCATAAAAATCATTCTTCCACGTGAAGTTTTGGTTGCAGTTAATTTTACCGGCCATTGGGGAGTAACCAGTGTATTCACTATTGAAGACTAATCAATATATTCAATACAGTCTTAGAGAAGGTCAGTTAGGCACTAAGAAGCTCACTGAAGTGCTGCTTGACTTTAGGTTCTATTTGCTTGTTTCTGGCAAGCATAAGAGCTAGATTCATGGCAGCGTACTAACCTCTTTCAAGAATCTAACGACGACATGTCGCAGCTGCCTATGTGTATTGATAATGAGTATCAGATGATTGTCTTGTTATTGTTACAACTCCCTTGGCTTCTGAATGGTACATAGAGCTTCAACAGGACATCTGAGCTTCACTCTATTCCCTGCAGTCTCTTTTAGCTTACTCCATGGTTGTCCATAAACTTTCATTTTCTACCCACACGATCTTCTTCATGTCACCCTCGGGCAGTGACTTAACTTCTCGTTTCCCATTTGGGTTCCACTCGAGGGTCTGCTTGGGGCGTGATACCAATTAGCTGTCTTCTCAGAGTTTGTCCAACCCACCTTCATTTGCTACTGCATATCTACTAGATAACAAGTTCTTGTCTAGTTCGTTACCAAAGTTTTTGTTACTTATTATTCCAAGTCATCTGGTCTTCGTTATACAGCGTTGGCAGCTGTTCATAAATTTTGATGTTGCTGTGTTCTCTGAGCTGGATGGTTTATACTTGGAAAGCTCTCGTTGTCCTACTAGGAAACGTCTTCAGTGCATACTTCATTTCGATGAAGTGAGCTTTCAGATTTCTCCACGAGTTTATTAGCCATCTCTCCTGGCGGGTGACCTTGAGCGGGATTGGTTGTTTTCGTGTGTTTTCACACCCTCTAGGCTACTTGCATTGATACCGAATGTTTGATCCTTTGTGTATGAGATTTCCAATGTGCCTAAAAGTTCTTTAGCATTCTTGGTGTTTCCTCTGTCTAATATTTGAACGCTTGTTGTCCCAGTTGAATTGATGTTCGCGTTTGTCTGTATGGGTGAGGGAGTGGATGTCATGTCTTTTGACTGCTAGTTTGTGTTCATGGATACGAAGGTGAAGAGGACGGTTGTCCACTTTGCTCAATGTAGTGTTTTTCAAATTGAAGTATGCTCTGAAGATGTTGCCTAGTTGGACAATGAAAGCTTTGCAAATAAGCCATCTAGGTCAGAGAACACAACTACATCAAAATCATTCACCTGAACTGCAAATCTTCTCCATCAAATCTAAAGTCTTTGGTAAAATTCTGCAGCAGGTTGTTGGAAGTTGATTCGGTGGCGCAGCAAGTCTCCGAACAGTATAAAAGCACTGACTGACTTGACATTAGTGCTAAAATTCCGGATCTTTTTCCTTTCTGTGAGCACAGTAGATTTTCACACTGATTTCAGAGTAATGAAGTTCTGTCTCACTTCCCCAATCTCGACTGAATTCGATATCCTCATCTGTTTCGCCTGCCTGTGGTTGAAACGGTGGTGTTTAGATATGTAAAAGAGGTAACTTTCGCCAAATTTTTGCATTAATAGAGATTAAGGCTTGCCGTTGTTTTTGTTGGCTGGGTATCTTTATCACCATTATCTTCTTTATTATCACTGAAGGTTTTGTTTTCACCGACCCTTCTGCCAATTTGTTTATGTCTTTTCAGGACTAATCAACTTTCGTAGGTTCTTAGGATAACCAGAAAACTGTAGTGCCTATTGTGGTCGTTATGACCGTAACTATGACCTATTAGACTACCAACGAATATGAACTTTATACTCTGGCTAATCTGTCCTAACGGCATGTCGACAACCACAACAAAATCATACCACTGGGATTCAAAGAGAGAACAGAAGATTGGACGGTGGAAAGAGGGCTTTTACTCTCTCAAAGTAGCAGTCGAGAAAAGGTTGACATAGCTTGCGTACATATATATATATATATATATATGTTTCAGATGACCCTGAAAAGCACTAATGTCATTAATGAATTAAGACAGTGAACAACCAATACGGTTCTAAAGGTCACAAGTAGGGTGAGAGGAAGTCAGGTCATAAATCAATAAGTGGGGTGAAAGAAGTACAAACAGACATGTAAAAATGACATGTAAGAAATTAGTTCTAAATATATTAGTAATGTTATGGATAACCTTAACATCTGGTTTTTAAAATTACATTATATCCTATCCTAATTCAGCAGTCAATCCTTTGACTTGAGTTATAGATACGTTTTGTAATGATCCTATTGATTTATTCTACTGCTTCGATATCATTATATTATTATTGTTTCCTTTAATTCCTAGAGGAAAATAGGGCTTCAGCCGCACATCTTCACTGCGTTCGGTTCTCTGCTAGAGTCTTCTCCTGGCTCCAAATCTGCCCACACGTTTTCATCTCCTCTTCACATCACCTCCTCCAAGTCACCGTTGCACTGACGACCAACTCGCCGCTTCCCTTTCGGGTTCCACTCAAGGGCTTGTCTAGTGATGTCACTTGATGGTTTATTTAGAGTATGGCTAATCCATCTTCATTTCTTCCTGCCTATTTGTTTCACAATCGGTTCCTGCTGTGTTGGTTCGCTCATTGCCAGAAATATCTGTTGCTGATCTTTTCTGAATGACCATTTGATCTTGAGTATTGAGCGAAGACAACTGTTGATGAAGGTCTGTAGTTTGTTTGAGATGCTCTTTATGACGTGCTGGCCAAGTCTCTGATCCGTATAGTAGAACTGACTGACTTCACATTGAAGTTGAAAATCCGGATCTTATTTTTGATGCTGAGCGGTGCTGTCGACCTCCACACAGACTTGAGAGTAGTGAAAGCTTGTCTTGCTTTTCCGATCCTTGCTTTGATATCCCCGTCAGTTCCGCCTGTAGTTGAAACGATGCTTCCCAGGTAGCTAGGTGGGTAGGTAAAGGAAGTGGCTTTTTTCAGATTCCTCCTATTAATTCTGATTGTTGTCTGCTGTTGCTGTTGGTATTGGCCAGGAATCTTCATCACCTGTGCTTTCTCTATGTTCACCTGGATTCCTATCTTTGATGCTTCTTCTGCCAACTTGTTGCTTTTTGCTTACATATCTTCCAGTTTGTGGGAAATCAGACAAATATCATCGGTAAAGTCCAGATCCTCCAAGTTTATCGTGTGAGTCCATTTTATGCCTGTTTCCTCATTGCCCATTGTTTGTCGCATTATCCAATCTACTGCAATCAGGAAAATCATTGGCGATAGTAGGCAACCCTGTCTTACTCCTGTCCTCACTTCGAAGGATTCCGTAAGTTTCCCGTTAAGAATTACTTGGCATGCAGCATTGGGTTAATTAATCAGTTGGTGCCTTGTAAAACAACTCTGGTGTCGCAAAGATGATCTATTATCCCTTAGGTTCCGAGTGGAACATATGACTTCAACAATACACCTTCGCTCTATTCTATTTTCTGCTGCCCTCTTCAGCTTGGCCCACAATTGCCCATAGTCTCAAATCTCCTTGTCACAGGTGAGGTAATCTAGCAAATTGCTATTTACCATTGTGTTGATTATATGATGGCCTCTGAGGATACGCGGTATAATTATGTCAATTTCGGCTTTGAATTGCCAGTTTATACTAGTCAGTTCCCGTCTCAGTGATTAGAGCCTCATTTTACTAATTTGCTATTCTTCGAACGGATACCAAGGTATTATCAGGACCAATCACTCATATACTGATCATGTGCTGATCAATACCACTGAGATATTTCAACAATCATTCAGAAATATAAATGGGAGATTGTGGTCTAGTGGATTCTGAAGCGATGACTATTGCAGTGGGAGCCCAGTCACTCGCTGTTTAACATGTGCATTCAACTGAAAAGTCCTAAGCAAGAAGAAAACTCTGCCCTTAGATTTTCCATCTTTTTATCGTGATACAACTAAGATCTTCCTTAATATTATCAGTTTCTACATATACATCCAGTTTTATTACCTCATGGTTATCCGGAAAACTTTATCACTTGTCACAGCAAAGGAGAAACCACATCTCGAAAAGGCAGATTCTGTACCAAAGAAAGCTATCTTTATTAACCCATCATTCAAGGGTGACCAGATTATGCAGTTGACAGCTAGCTCAAAGACTTCGGTTAGCCATCAAACGCACATTCTACACCGTATCTCTTTCCCTCACATCTCGAACATTTTCGATCCCTGTACCTACGATTAAAGAATGAAATTCTGTGAACTCTACTTCAAACTGTATCTACAAGTTCGCCTGCAGCTACGGTGACACCTATATAGGTAGAACCAACAGAATGTTCCAATGTGGTCGTCGAAAAGAACATGTTCCAAAATGGCTACTAAATCATATAGAAAATCCCAATGCGATTAATCTGAATAGAAATCCAGCATCATCCATTGCAAAGCACTTATTAATGTCAGGTCACAAAATCAATATTAATGACTGTTTCACAATTATTTCAAATAACTCTAATTCAAGGTTATTCAAGGTGATGGAAGCACTTTGGATTAATCACATACAGCCTAAACTGTGTGTACAAAAAACAATCGACTTCAATCCTCGCCTACCATGGACTACATGACCTATCTAAATATGACTGGTCATCAGTATGTACTTTTGTTTTTTATGTAACTGGGTAATTGTCATGAACTTTATTTCATTACTGTGAACCCTGTTAGTTGTAAAGCGGCTGTAAAGAAACTACGAAATGACGATATCATCTCGCGAAATTTGTCTTCTTAATGCCTTATTCAAATATTATCATGTCAGAAATTATGGATTTGTCTTTTTTTTCATTTACTTCCACAGAATCGATACCTGTCATTTGCCCCGACGAATCAATCAACTCTAGAAGACTATTCAAAATCTTTAATGAACTCATTCAATAAAACATCTCATGATGAGTACAGTGTTATCAGTCCTTCTAATTTATCGAATTCTAGTTACTTAGACACTGTGCTGATAAATCTTGATCAGACAGAAGTACATCATCCTCTAGCTGAATGGAGTTCATCGTCAACCAGTCATCAACCATTAGTTCCATTGCCGTCTTGTAAGTGTACTGAATGCGTTACTTTATTGTGTGGTGATAAATTTAGTCACTGTTTGGGATTCATTCATGTTTTTATCATAAATAATCATTATCATTATTATCATCAACGTGCATATACCAGTTTACTTGCTCTTGTGGAGCTGAGTACATCGGCTGTACCATGCACCGACTTGGAAAACGCGCTCGCGAACACTTCCCAGCCTGGCTAGTAAAAGGAGACCGAAAACGTGTATACAGTTCAGTGACAGAACATCTGGTCAACTCAGGACATTCAGCGCCTTTCGAAAAATCCTTCAAAGTAATATACAAGATTCAATCAAACCTATCAGAGGGAGTCAAATCAAGACATCTGGACATAGTTGAGGCGCTAGCTATCCAAAAGCTCAAACCCACACTTTGTATCCAAAAGAATTACGTCCAACCCCTCTCCCTGCCATGGCCATCATAAACAGGTAAAACATTTTTAGTAATGACAATCTCATCGTCTTTCTTATCTAAACTTCCTGTTTATTCATGTTATTTTATTATTTCTACATATTTATTCCCTGATTGCATAAACAATTATTCATCATATTAGTTTTTTATCCAAACATCCTGTATATTTTGTTATTTCTACATTTCTAACCCCCAGTTGCACAATGTCAACAGCTCTTCTTAGTTTCTATAATGCTACTTTGTTCGAGTTTTATCCGTCCCCCTGTTTATTATGACATTTTAATTCCTAATTGTAATTTTTATTAATTTGACTCTTGACCGGAAATTATTCTAGAACTTTCCCATCCATTTGATATAAATACACGAATGTACAGCCTGGATGATGACTTTGTCGAAAAGAAAATTTTCTTCACTGCAATTGTCTTTTTAATAATCATTATTATAATATTGTTCATTCTGTGTTCCAAAGGGGAATGTAGACCTTCAGCGGCATATCTCAATTCCACTTGACAGTCCACCATCGTTTTTAAACGATTTCATAACTTTAATTGAATTTTAGATTTTTCCGTCGATTGATTCGACCGAAGTGCTCAGTTTCAGGTTGACATGTCGGCTTCTTGTGCAGATGCTTCGACAATGTCTGGACATTTAATTAGAATTTATTTTTCTGTGAATGGTGACCCGTCGCACAAAAAGTTGGCTTTCGTGTCCCAAGTGGTCTAGTGGATAACGCTTTGCCGTTTGAAACTATAGGCACTGGGTTCGAGCCTCGGCTGTGGGAACATCATCACTGACTCACTGGGAAATGCAGGTGCATCCAGCTAGAGGACGAGTCCCAAATAGGACGAAAAGCGTGTTATCCCGGCTGGATTCCACTGCTAGGTTTCATAACTGCTCACAGGCTTTCATTTCCTCGTCAGATGATCTTCATGATATCACCCTTGGCTACTGAATTCGTCGCTTATCAGAAACTTGCACTGCGCTTCACGGAAAGGTTTTCCAACAGGCTGTTACAGACTTTTATCAACAGCTGCGCACTTCACTGGCTGGCTCCTCACTGAAGATCAAATGGTCAACCTGACAGAAAGAATTAGCAACAAGAAACTGTGGCAATAAACGAACCAAGAGCCGATTACTCAGCAAATTTGCAGGAGAAAATGGAGATGGATTTGGAATACATTGAGGCCATCGAATGACATCGCTCACCAACCCCTCGCTGGCATAGAACTCGAAAGGAAATTTTCGGGTGGGTCATCAGTGCGAGGGTGACATGGAGGAGATCATTTGTTTGGGAGGAGGAGATGAGAGATTATGAGCAATCGTTGACCCAGCTGAAGAGGACGGCAGAAAATAGAAGAAAGTAAAGATGTGTTCTTGAATCCCTATGTTCCACTCAGAACTCAAGGGAATAATAATAACTAACAGAATGTATTAAAGGGAACTGACTATCTCTAATACATGTTGTTAATTAAGCCTCATTTATAGAGGCTTGAAATTTACGTATAATCCAGTTAACCGTCCACCGTATTTATTATAACTTTATTTTTGGAAGAGATGAGTCAATAGTGAACTCATATTTGGCTCAATTAAGAGTATTAATCGACTATTTTGGTGTCAAATTTGTTCTCAACAATTACACTTTCCACTTGGTGAAAGAGCAGCAATCTGTCGTCATTATTATTATTATTTTATTCCTTCACGTTCCTAGTGGAACATAGGACTTCAAGCTACAGGCTTGAAGTTTCTGTAGCAGTGTTTATTTTTACAGGATTGGGTTGCTAGCCGCTTGCTCAACCTTTCCGCTTTATATCTGGTTTAGCCAGGTAAAGGAGTGCGTCGGCCGGAGATCGAACCCCAGACCATGTACATGGTCGGCGAGCGTCCTAACCGCTGCGCCACCTACACACCATCATCTGCTTAATTATCTTTTACGTTGTCCTTTACGGATGATATAATGTTTATTCATCACTTCACATTTTAGTTATCCAGATAGATATAAATCGTAATGGCTGGACCATGAAGCAGGATTCAGTGGGTTTTTCTGTGGGCATCCTTTACTCTACCAAACCGTCAGCCAGTGGAACTGATAGGTCAACTAGTATCACTCCGATCCAGTCTTATAGACTGGATAACTTGCCATTGTAACCCAGTAATATACTATTCGAGAGAAAACAACATATTTTGGTAATATGCAAAGAATGGAGATTACAGTAATTAGTCGAAAATCGATTCAAAAATATTCGTAAATAATGAAGGGTATCTCTAAATCGTCTAAAATTTTCTGAAAACTTTGACTGAAACTTTAAGGATACTTGAGACACTGTCTGCTCCTGTCAAATTCAAGATGACATTTCATTACATATCTAGTCTTCATCATGTCTCACTTTACGGATAACTATAAAGAAATCGTCAGGTGTGCTTCTCACTTCACTCATTTGGAAAGTTGCATCTGTCGTAATAGACTAATCACTGACGAAATCTTAGATTTGACATGCGTGATGTCGGAAAATTCGTGACGTTCGGTTATTCGTCAAAAGGTATGTGTCACGCAGCATTTCGTTTTGTTCTACTCTACAACTATGAGACGTAGTGCTTAGAGTAGAGATTTGAACCCACCTCACTCAGTGCTAAAGTAAGAGATGTTAACTGACCTCCTGTAAGACTGAAATGGATATGTTGATTGATCATTCTTTAGCCAACAGTTTCATATGTTCAAGTATTGGTTTTTAGGGATTTGACTGATTGGTTACAGGATTTCGTCATGAGCTGACATAGGTTAGAGAACCATTGGAATACCAGCTAGAAGGGAGTACTGAACATCTGCTTCATCAGCCTGGTTTGGGACTCTTCAGTAGTTCCCATCCACCGCGAGGCTTCGAACCCAGGACCTCTGGTTACAAGGCAAGCTAGCTCGTAGACCAATAAGCCACTGGGACCGGATCCAATGGCCAGCCCATTAATTCCAACTTCTGTCTATTCACGACACAGCGCGACCACTAGCGCCCGACCTGCTGTATCCTACTGGTCACGACTTCTCACTAGAACCCCCAGATTACTACCTACCTGAATAGGGCCAGTCGCTAGTGAGCATCTCATTGATATTCAAGTTTCATATGTTTAATCTTTAGTGCTGACTGAACTAAGTCATTCAGATTTCAACTCTGAACTGATATTTGGTCCGAAGTCATGGAACTAAATTTCATGCTAGTCAGCACTCATTATCAGGGTATACACGCCACCCCAAGAACAGTATCCAGCCAGACCGAAGCATGTCCCCCTAGATATATGAATAAAGGTGATGGAAAAGAGAAAATGATTATCCGAATAAAATTGCTTAACAGTATATTAGAAAGTTGTGGAGACATGACTCATTGGCCCAATCAGTGGATTTCAGGCAGAAGGTTACAATATGAAACACTTGTTCCAAGAAAATCATGGGCCACGGATAACATTGGCTAGTGCCAGTCGCGCTATGTCGTGAATTGGCAGAAGTTGGAATTCATGGACTGGGGCTTAATGGTCTACGAGTTAGCTCATCTTGTAACCAGAAGGTTCTAGGTTTGAACCCTGGAGGTGGGTGCGTACTGGTGAAGAGTCCCGGACAGGGAGGACGAAACGGTTGTCCAGTAATCCCAGGTGGTTTTCCACCGGTTCTCTAACTGATGTCAGCTCATGATGAAATTCTGTTACCAAACTGCGAAACTACTTGTTTACTTTTTCATTTTTACTTTTTCAGTAACATATTCAGACTTTCCAGAAAATTTCTCGAATCCTGAGGATGTGGAAGAAAACGAAAATAAACAGTGTTCCCTAACAAGGGAAAATGATTCAAAGACAGTTGGACAACTAGTTGAACAAGATGTTAAAGAATGGATATCACGATTTCCAGAATTGAATTCTCTTTTAACAAAAGAAAACAACGACGCTGATTATGGTGATGATGATGGTGATGACAAGGAATACAATGAAGAAAAGTAAGCCGTATATATCATTTAATTTTGTAATGTGGTTCGTATCCCAGGGGAATCTTAAGTTTTCGTTGAAATACCAGTTGTAAAAATATGTGCCATGGAGTATGTTTTCGCTGGAATTACTTTCTATTTCTTCCTTTGCGTTCCAAGCCGAAACACTTAGAACTTCAAGCTTAGAAGTTTAAGTAGCATTAGTTTTATTTTTTACGGAGTGAGATTAATGGCCTTACGTCCAACCTTCCCTGTTCTCTGGGCTCTTATTATTCCCTTGCGTTTCGAGTGGGACATAGGCCTCCAACAACACATCTCCACTTAGTTCTTCTCTCTGAAGTCCTCTTCACCTGGCTCCACTCTTTCATCTCTTCCTCACACGACCTCCTCCATATCACCCTAGGATGACAAAATCGCCGCCTCCCATTTGGATGTAATTCGTGCGATGTAATTCGGCGGCTTCCACACGCGTATGCGTGATCCATCTCCATTTTCCCTTACATATTTGTTGAGCGAGAGACTCGGCGTTGGTTTGTTCCCACAGTTTATTGCTGCTCATTCTTTCTGGCTGGCCATTTGATCTTCAGTATGGAGCCAGCGAAAGCAGCTGTTGACAAAATTATGCAACCTTTTAGAAATCCTTTTCTTGACACGCAGTTCAAGTTTCTGACCCGTATAGAAGAATCGACTTCATATTGGTGTTGAAAATGCAAATCTTGTTCCTTATGCTCAGTGCGGAAGATTTCCAAACTGGTTTCAGGTTGGTCGATGCGTATCTTGCCTTTCTTATCCTGACTTTGATATCCTCATCCGTTCCGCTTGTAGTTGAAACGATGCTTCCCAGATAAGTGAAGGAGGCAACCTTTATTAAATCTCTCCCTTTGATGGTGATTGGTAGTGGTTGTTTTTGTTGTTGCTATTGGTTGGTTCGCTGGTTGTCTTCATCACTTGGATTCCTGTCTTCGCTGTCACCTTCTTCTGCCAGTTTGTTGGTCTTCGCTTGCAAGTCTTCGAGTTTGTGTGACACTAGACATATATCATCTGCGACATCCAAATCTTCTAGGAACTTCTTGTCAGTGGCCCAACCTTTTCCTGACTCCTCGCCTCCAACAGTCTGACGCATAATCCAGTTCACTACAATTCAGACTTTGGCTGCCACTTGTGACATCATGATGGCCACGCACTGCCTCAGTGTGTTAGTGGTTATCATCTCGGTAACTGGAGTAGATTATTGACTCTCTCGTTGACAATGTTGTCAATCTACATCCATTCCATCGGCTTTCGCAGTTACCCAATACTTCTAAGGCATCTCTTTGGCTTCCACGTACCCATTCTTACTGTTACTTTCATCGAGAGAAGACACATAGGCTAACTGACTGGCTTCCCGAAGGCTTTCACCAGCCTGCGGTGTCATTTCACCTCTCCGATTCGAGCGAAGAACAAGACTGTTTTTATTTGAATTTTTTGTATTTTTAATATATTTTCTGTTTGTTGAAGTTTCTCTAGCGGTTTGAAAGATTTATTGGTGTGGGGTCGCTAGCCGCACGCCTAACCCTCCCTCTTTACATGGGCTTGTGACCGGCTAGAAAACTAGCGAGCTAGTTAACCAGGCGAGGTTCTCTGGGCTTATTTCTAGTTAATAAACTAGGTATGGCTTAGGAGAGCATTAGCTGGGACTCGAACCTCAGACCATATGCATTAATGGCGAGCATTCTACCACTGGACCACAGATCCATTGGGATTACTTTAGTTTAATTCTATCGTCTAAAAATTGACAGAGGAGTGTAGTTAGCTATTCTGCAAGCTTACTGACCACTAAAAATAGTTGGTTTATGGTTTTACATGAGATCAGCAATGAGCGACGACAAGAGTACAAATATATATTCAGTACTCATTTTCACCTTGATATGAACGATATGATTATGAGTAGTAAATTGCGCTTACCACATCCTCTGTAAATAATACTGTATTGCTTTGTACATATTTTTATCTAATAAATTTATTCCATGATGGAGTTCCTTACCGAAAATGAACTCTAAAGGCTGTGTGGAGATCAATAATACTAATGAGCATGAAAAATAAGATCTGGATTTTCAACTCCAATGGGAAGTCAGTGCTACTTACTATATGGATCAGAAACTTGGCGCCACGCCGCGTCACGAAGGGCAGTTCGAATAACTTCAAACTGCACACCTTCATCAACAGCCGTCTTCGCTCAATACCACTCAAGATAAGATGGTAGGGTCAGAAAAGATCAGCGAACCAACCAGGAACCGATTATGCAACAAATATGCACGAAGAAATGTAGAAAACAAACCTTCAAGTGAATGACCTCACACACCAGGCTATATCTCAAGTGGAACCCGAATGGGAAGTGGGGAGTTGGTCATCAGTATAAGGGTAACATGGAGGAGGTCATGCGAAGAGGAGATAAGAGCATGCGGGCAGATGTGGAACCAGGTGAAAACGTTGGCAGAGAACCAAACACAATGGAGACGTTTGGCTGAAGCATTTTGTTGCTCTAGGGACTAAAGGGGATAATAATAATAATGGAGCTCATTATACTTATAGTAACAATAATGTGAAATAGGATAAGATATTTATGATTATAATGGCGGTTCAATATAAACCAATAAGATTGGTTACGTAACATGATATTTATGCTTTTTCCTAATTCTTTGTTTCTTTGAGTGGTAACAAGTACTCTAACAAGAAATTCTATTTATTTTATTTTAATAATATTTTTTCTATTTAGGCTGAATACATCAAACAATCCGCTACTACACTTGAATAATGCATCAATTGAAGAGGCGAAAAATTATGAAAATGAAATTTTATCGGCATGCAAGTTTAAATTTTGAACTACGCGCCAACTCAAAAGAATACCGACTAAAACAAATTCATTAAATTCCTCGACAGCCAACGAGATGCATCCAAAGCAAGAGATACGAATGGATAAATACAAGCACACTCTCACGCAAATAACAAGATACTGACGACAGAGAATAAATGATGCTGGTTTTTTTTTCTTAAAAATCTTTTTGCTTTCATGCACTTTTTAAAAAAATACGTTACCTATGCGATCATTTGATACTTACAGTCGTAATAGTATTTTCCAGAAAGCAGAAGTTATCTTTCGCTTAATTCTTTCATATTACAGTTTTCAAAATATTATTTTCTAGAAAGATTTGTAAGTTATTACACCTTTTTGTAATTGTAAATAAAACTATCATGAATAATAAATCTTTCAACTGACTAAACATGCCCATTAAAATTTTCTCAAAAGAATGGTTACTGAATAAAGAATATTCTTTTCGATAACCTGCTCTTCATCAGGTTCTACAGTTATATATACATGCATAATGGTGAATGAATGAATTAGTGTTATAAACAACATTGATGTTGTTTAAATAACATCGAATCAATAATATTGATAGATTACAGCTGAACAGCATCAACATAAAATAAACTGAATGTCAGAAAAATTAGGAAAGATAATAATACAGATTCATGAATTTATAGTCTCTATTGAAGGCCAGGGCAGTAGTAGAGGCTGGCTAGACTTGCTTCTTTTGCACACAAAGCACTGGTTGTTTCACGCGAATTGCTATATCCTTTGCTGTTTGCAGCATGCGGTACTTTAATATTTTGGAAATTTATTTGGAACCTGATAGCTGATGATAGAGAAAGATTCTTCAATGCTAGCTGGCTTTGTGGCTGGTTTGGATCAAGTGGTCTAAAATCGAACTGTTGGTGGCTTTTACCACACCTTTACTTAGCCATAATGGCAGATTTTCCCGAGCAGGCATGAAAAATCAATTTCCTAGATCAACGGCCGATATAACTGGCTCCACTAGAAGCGCAGTTGAATTGGTAGATACAATTGGAAGTGGCTAGTTTAGGTACTTCATCTTTCAGTTGAGGAATCGCCATTGGTCGTGTAGAGAATAAGACGTGTAGTTTGCCAGCATTAGCAGTTCTTTGAACAAAATTTCTCAACTTGTTACTAATTGCTTCGCTTAGTATATCGTCGTATGTATAAAGGCTCCTTGTTTACCGATAGTGAGTAGTCCTTTTCCGTCAATTTATATATGTTCAAACCAAGTTCACTTTCTAACAGTTTAAAAAGATTTCGGCGGCAGCACACCTCCATTTCGTCTGGTTTTCTGTAGTTGTCTTAAGGTGGCTCCAAGATTGTTTATAAGCTGTCATTTTTATATGGTGATTATATTGTATCGAACGCCTTCTTATAACCACCTCAATAACTGCTAATACTTCCACTACTAAATACCGCTTCCATTCCTCCATAGTTGTAAGATTTGTAGACCGAATTTCCTGTTAATACAAAACTTACTATCAGATATCATTAGCCACAAAAAAATAATTTAGTTTCTTTTTGATTTCTCTCAAAGTTGTAAGAATATAATGAATAATGGACTGAGATATGGAATCAGTGGGCTGTAGCTCACTGATCTAAGAGTTCTATTTTTAAAAACTAAGTTACTCACTCGCTGGTTTGAATCCCTGATATGCATTATTGATATAAGTGTACAATTTGGGCACTGTGGTTGCAGCGTATAACTCCATTTATGGATAAGATTTTATTTTGATAAAATCACACAGTATCATACAGTAATGTTAACTGATGACCACGTTTCGAGCACAAACTATTGCTCATAATCATTTCAAGTCACTCACTCACACAATTTTTATCATTCATTTACATACAAGTGTGGAATCGATTAGATATTGGGATAAAAATCAATATAGGATAATGTTCATTCAGAAATAATAGTACGACTCTTATGGATCAGTTACAATCAGATGAGAAATAAGACGAGTGTTGCTATTAAATAACTATCCAATAAAATTAATAGAAAGATCGGAAAAGGCCAGAAGCAAAATAAAAGTAATTTTGAAACTAATAATGATAACATAAATAAGAAAGAATATAAGGCATCTACTGTTATACCATATAAGGAGGGGGCATCTGAGACTTTAAGTAGGATTCTCAATGAAGCAGGAATTAAGGTGGCATTCATACCTGCAAACTCCTTCACTCAGGCAGGACGAGCTCTGTTGGCTAAAAAACCCTGTCAGTGGACCCAATTAAACAAAATAATATAATTTACAAAATACCTTGCAATGACTGTGAGTTAGGTCAACTACAAAGGTTAAACTAGTAGGTTGGGGTTATCGCATTGTCAGAACGTAACAATGTACCTGATGTTAGAATGGCTGACGCCGCGAAGATGAGTAATTTGGAAAAAATCTCAGCAAATGCACTGCATGCATTAACACACCACCACACAATAGGGTGGGAGAGGGTTAAAATTCTAAGAAGTAATATAGGTAGGTGCAGAAAGGGGTTGATTACTGAATCCTGGTTCATCAAGTCTACACACCCAACACAACACATGCAACATAAATGACTCAATGCAATGTGTGGAAGATATTATTACTACCAGTCAGTCAAATCAGAGGAGAATAATAAATAATCTTAAAATTCTATTTCAATTCAAGCACATCACAACATGCTGACAAGTTACTTATTATGACTATAAAAACACTCGTCTTATTTCCCATCTAATTGTAATTGATCAATAACACTCATATTATCATTAATTCCGAATGTACATTATCCTATATTGATTTTTATTCCAATATCTAATCAATTCCACACATGTATATAAATTAAGGAAAAAGTTGTGTGAGTAATGCCTTGATATGATTATGAGCAGCAATAGTTTGTGCTCGAAACGTTTTCATCAGTTAATATTACTGTAAAACAAACACTGTGTGATTTATCAAGATAAAATCTTATCCATAATGGAGTTATTCTGTACTACTTGTAACCGTTTCTTAGAAAGTTAAGCCATATATCGACGAATAGTATCCGCCCACGCTAAGTCTGCTGTGATTGGTTGACGGGTTCCTCTGGGTTGAGTTTTGTTAGTTTTTTTCCTCATGACCCCGATTCGGGACATAGCCATTGAAATAAATTGTTGTCTACAATTTTATCTTGCAGACAGCTTTCACCACACTACTACTAATAATGCTACGCACTATAAAATTCATTTTCAGAAATGTTTGCATATTTCTGATCGCTTCATTATCAAAGTTTTTCCTTCTCTGAATTTATATAGACATAAGTGCAGTTTTAATGACGAATTGTTCTATTGCAATGCACTATTGCACTATTATATATGTAAGGCTTTTAGACAACAACGAAAAAGGCGAAAACAAGTTTTTAGTCAGAATAAACAGCACCACAATCGATAATTCAAGAGAGAGAGAGAGAGAAATAAGTGCATCATGCTTCTAAATAGTTATTATGTGATGATTAAGTAACACTCATTCAGATTTAATTATTTCTCTATCTATCGACTTTTCATGTACTCTGTAACTAACTTATCTACTGTAATATTCCACTATATATATGCCTTGTAAGGAAAACGGAAAAATTTTCACTCCTCGTACTTTTTGTGATTGCTGAACTCACAATATGTTATATGGTACAATATTAAGTTTATTAATTTGTAATCTCCTTTGTGTAAATAGTTGGAAAGTCACACATAAACATGTCAGCCCACATTTAACACTTGTCTATGTACACGGTGGTAATGATGCCCGGCTGAGTCATTATGATGCTGTCGATTTTTGTCGTTTGTTGCCGCGGATACCGGATGTATTAAATCCAATAGTGGCAAAAAATGCTACAGATAATGGAGTGAGCTTGAAAGCATATTTGGACAGTATCACCGCGAATGAGGCGAGTAGTGATAGTTCTTCGACTACCACAACAACAACTGCTCCTACTCCTTCAACGACTCCTGCCAGTACAACTGCTGCTCCAGCTGCAACTGCTAAGTCTACCACCAGTGGTACTACTTCTACTACTCATCATACTACAACAGAAAAAGCTCCAATTCCATCTAATTCTAGTACTTCCACAGTTAGCGGAGTAAGTCATACACAGAAGAAGAAGGTGAGGAAGAGTACTTATAGCCGTGGAAGTGGATCCAGTTCGACTAACTACATACTTCATGGTGACTTGCTTTCACTGCATAGTCCAGCTATGATACACACATTAATGGGTTGGGCATTAGCAGTTGAAGCAAGACAATTTTGGATTGGTGGATTAGTGAAATTAATTCAGCATGAATTCAATGGTCAAGATAGACATTTAATTCAAACTTGGACTGATCGAACACCTGTGACAATACGTTTTCTGCATCATTATAATCCAGTGGTTAGTCAATTACATCCAAATGAAATTGCTTGTCTATCTGTTGACTATGCCAGTGGTAAATGGGGTGTACACTATTGTAGTGAAACAAAATATTTTGTATGTGAATTATTGAAATTACCAAAGAAACAAAGACAAACGGTAACAAAGGAAGGTGAACAACAACAGCATAGCACTACTACTACATCTAGCAGAGGACATCAGAAGACCAGCAATTATCTGCGATCATCGAAAGGGACTGATTTGAATAAATTAGTCATGAATAAGACAGAGAATGTAACAACATTGCAAACACCACACGAATTGGTGAGTACTGTCCATACCACCGCTAGTACTCCTACTAATCCACAGTCATCTACGCCGGGAGCAACAGCAACAACAACAACAAGTACTACTACGTCCACTAAAAAATAAACCCAACAATCTTTTATAATATATATGAAATGTACTCAAGCTAAAGAAAACAGCTTGTCTGCTACCATCATCACCAATATTATTGTTATCATTATTATTTGTAATGTGATTCAAAGGTAATTGTTTTTGGTGAACAAGTGAGATAATGATTATGAAATTAATATATGTGATTTTGAAATTTCCTCTCTTAAATACAGTGTGATTATTTTATGAAACTGTTAATAAAATTTGAATCAAGAAGCAGATTATTTGTTCGTTTCTTTTCTTTTATGCAATAAACTAGAAAGTTGTCGTATTTCTTAGTTAGTTAATTCATTGCGTTACATTCTCCACTAAGACTTTCACAGTGAAAGTGTAACGAGAGGTATTTATAGATCTTTTTATGTGCATTATTATTAGCGTTATTGTTAGCAGAGGAGCAACGTCTTCTGATTGGTTGTTTTCTTGCTAAAGGTTATTCTGTACTGTTTGTGACTGTTTCTTAGAAAGTGAAGCCGTGTATCTGCGAATCGTATTTGCACACGTTAAGTCTACTGTGATTGGTTGGTGAGTTCCTCAAGGTTAAGATTTGTTACTGCTTTTTTTCTCATGACCCCTATTCGGGACGTAAACACTGACATAGATTATTGTCTAAAATTTCGACTTGCATACAGCTTTCACCACAAAAGTAGAAGGTATTTCAACTCCAGTATCATTACGTCGTCTTAAGCTGGCCTCATGATTGCCCATCGTCTCTCATCTCCTCTATATCACCCTTGAAGCGACGCACATTCACTTCCATACGGGTTCCACTCGAGCCATGGTCTGGTGTGTAATGTCATTCAACGGTCTCCTCAGCGGTTTGTGCCCAATCCATCTCCATTTTCTTCATTATATTTGTCAGTCGATAGGTTCTTGGTTGGTTTGTTGCCAATCAGAGTTTCTTGTCGCTAAACCTTTCTGGTCGGTCTTTTCATCTTCACTATGGAGCCAGAGAATGTAGCTGTTGATACAATTCTGCAGCTGGGTGTTGGAAATCCTTTTCGTGACTCACGCGAAGTGCAAGTTTCTGTCTGATCCATATCGAAGAACTGATGGACTTGACATTGGTGTTAAACAGAATGCGAATCTTGTTGTTCATGCTGTGGAGTGCAGAAGATTTTCGAATCGGTTTCAGGTTGATGTCGGGCGTATCTTGCCTTTCTGATTCTGGCCGGCTGGCTTTGATATCTTCATCCGTTCCGCCCATCTGTAGTTGAAGCGATGCTGGCTGCCTAGATAAGTGAAGGCAGGAAGTGATCTCTGTCAAATGTCTCCCGTTGATGGTGATTGGTGCTGGTTGTCTATCTTCATCACCTCCGTCTCCTCTATCTTCACTTGAAGTCCTGTCTTTACTGCAGTGCTTCATCAGCAAGTTTGGTGGTTTGCGTCTGTAAGTCTTCGAGTTTGTGTGTGTGAAACTAAACATAAATCATCTGCGAAATCAATATCTTCTAGTCTTCTTATTGGTAGTCCAAAGTATTCCTGTCTCCTCGCTCCCCACAGTCTGATGCGTAATCCAGTCCACCATAATTAGAAATATCATCGTAGGTGATAATAGGCCGCCAGCCTGTCTTACTCCTGTCGTCTTCACTTCGAATGAAAAATGTTCATGTAGTAACTCCAGAAGGTTGTAGTTCATAAAATTGAAAACTTGCTCAGTGAGACGAACCAATAGATGTAATCAAAATCCAGTTGTTACCAAGGTAGTGACAGATTGATTACACTCTCTTTCTGTATGCATAAGTTTAGTTTGAGAAGTTTGACTGCAATTGTTTCAGCAATTCTGCGGGAGCAGTTACATTGGAAGAACAGAAAGAAGAAGGGCATATCTACGATTTTCTGAACATGTACCAAAAAGCTTATGTCTAAAGGGAACAAATGCTTTAAACAGTGCCATCACCAGGCATCTCCTCGACACGGGTCATGAGGTGGACGTCGAAAAGTCGTTCAAAATTATCAATAGGCAAAAGAGCTCAATTCTCCTCAAGTTTGCTGAAGCCATTTCCATCAAGCGCCTGTGCGTTCAGAAAGAAACAGTTATCAATCTTTCTTTGTCCTGGTAACTGGATATTTTCACCTCTCTTTCATCTGATTACGTAATGTCGAAAGTTTCCGTTGTGTATGATCATTATTGTTGAGAATAGTGTTTGATAATAGATATATATATTATTTATTACTGTATGCGTATATTGATTGATTTTTGCAGATATATTTAGTAATGACTTTGGCCTGTAAGCAGCTGATGAGAAGGCAACGAAATATTCTGCAAAAACTGTAGTTCTTGTTTTGTTCAAATTTCATTAATCATGCTGTTATTCCTCTCTAAATCAACAACCTACGACTATTTATATACGGAGAGTGAAACTTCTACGTACTTCGTCTACCTTGAAAGTTATACGAGTAATGTTCACATAGTATATCCAGACATAAGATTCAGTGTCCAATCCAAAGTTACTTTTGATTCCTACCACCTCATTAATACGTCCATCTTCTATCTGCATTTCACCCTAAAAACTCGAGAGAATAGTGTCATCTTTAGCCACCTATGAACACAATCTGTATTATGAGGATGGAAGAGATTTTGTTAGTGATACATGTGTAGTCCTAGGTAACAAAAAGCATATACATGGTTATAAGTTTTTAATAAACAAAGTCACTGGGCCTTGTCTTACACCAGTAACCGCCTCGGTAGAAGAGTGGTGTTAGTTGGGAATAATCTAGGAAAAACGGTTGTTAGCCCAATTGAAAAGAGTCCATCAGCCTGCTGATTAAATCCAGATAAGCCGACTCGATAGACTCCTTCAGGTGTTTGGAATCAATGACTGCAGACTGCTGGATAATCACAGCAATAAAGATGCTTTGAAAGCTTAAAATATTTGCAGCTATGAGTGTTGGGTTATTCTGTTCTCTGTAAAATCATCTAAAAATTAATATACCTCGTGTCTGTTTTTATTTTTTCGTAAAGGAATCGCAAATTGCAGACGCAACGCATAGTACAAGATATATGTACCGGAAATATTTTTTTGCGTAATCCAATCCTAACGTTCAAACTATCACTGAGTACGAAATAATTATATTCCCTACAAAAGCCATACAACTAAAAGTTTATGACCATTATCATTTGAGTTGTCAACTAACTTTAACTGAACTAGAAGAATACTCCAGCGTCGCTGGTACACCGGTAGAATGCTCGCCAACCATGCCTAACATGGTCTGAGGTTCGATCCCCGGCCATCGACGCTTTCCTAAACCTCCCTAAGCCGGTAATAAGACTGGTAGGGAGGGACGGTTGGGCGTGAGACTAGCAATCCCATCCCGTAAAAATAAACACCACTGCTACCGAAACTTCACAGCTCTAGCTTGAAGCCCTATAATCCACAACTCATTACTACTGTTACTGACTTGACTAACGCTCAATTTTTAGTCATTTGTGTTACGTCATCCAATTTATTTGCTCAATTTTAGTCCTAATTTAAATAGCATTACTTAGTGCCTACCTGTAATTACCTCTGTTGCTATTCTGATCGAAGTTGAAACATTTTAGTCTATTATATTACGTCATTTAACTTGCTAACTCAATCTTACTTTAGTTGCTGTCTAATTTAACCTTGTTTCTATATTAGATCATTCTTATATTACCTAATTAATTATCTAAACTTGAAAAACCTCATGTAAACACACACAAAAAAATAATTATATATAAATGCGATTGTACAGCTATGTGAATGAATTCGCCGTCGAAAAAAAGTCTCTTCGCTGAACGTCTTCTCTTTTTCATATGACTGACTCAATGGGGATTTTTAAGCTAATAAAAAAAAGAAAACCCGGAATCCGGGTAAATCACATTCATTCAACTCTCCGAGCTGATTCAAACCGGTTGTACTGTGGATAAGCACTGGCCTAAGAGCGAGAGACATGATTGTATCAGTTCGATGTAGCTAACGTGGGCTACCAAATTGACTTAATTCACTTCCAGCTACTTATATCAATGAATCAGTAGTATAAATCGAAGTTTATTAAAAGTTTACTAACACCACGACGCGCATACACGCATTAATATTTGATGTCAGGTTAATTCAATAATATCCCATGAATGCGTCTAGAATTCACATGCAGGCAAGAATTTACCTAGCGCTGTCTTGCCTGTAAGCGGCAGCACACAACACACTAACTTCCTTTTACATAAATGAAATATAAATATAAGTAAGCTACTACTGCCGCCTATCTTAATTACCTAAGGTGTCACTCACTACCAAAGACTATTCTCACTGCTCTATCAACGTAATGTAACAGCATGGCACATACAGGAAAATTATCAAGTGTTGGTTTTCAGGAGAATTGACTGATTACTGGTTTGACCACAAGCTGACGTCAGTTAGAGAACCATTGGAAAATAAAGGTTGAAAACCAGAACCTTCTGCTAGCCAGGAAAACCACCACGTACACTATTTAGCCATTGGGATCAGATCCAACAGCATACAGGAATTCTCATTTATAAATTTGAGCAGAGAAACGACAAACATTAGTGCAGAATAACATGGATCTATTTTATTTCATTGGTTATATTAATATGTGTAAAACTTGGGCACTGTGGTAGTAAGTAATTCCATATTAGTTTGTTTATTAGATATATCACACCGTGAAACAGTATTATTATTTACTGGATGACAAGGTTACGAACAAAATTTATTGTTCATAATCACCTCATCAATTAAATCACACGACTTAGAAACTTGAGTTTTATAGTTTTCTTTTTTCTCTCCTATTCGTCCTCGTAGGGGTAGTAGAATTTTCCAGATATCTGGGTGGACAGGTGTTGAATCATTCCTATTACACGTATCCCCTGTCAGTTGATTCGATAAACAAAGCTTGCTTCTGTTATCGATCTATTCATCCACCCTGCTGTTATATTCGATTTAAAACTGTCATCTTATCCCATCCCATCCTATTGTATGGTTGTGTGTAATTGCATGTAGTGAGTGCATTAGCTGAACTATTCTCCAGACTTCTTATCTTATTCAAGTCGACTAATCTAGATTTTGCTAGGTTCTCATGCTCCGCTAGTCTTACTGACTGACTCTATTCTACTAATTCGACCTATGTATTTGTCCTGACAATCATTGCAGGGTATTAGATAAAGGCAGGATCGTTTAACCGACAAAGCTTGTTTCTAATTGAGTTTGTGGGGTGTTTGAATGCCAACCACTTTTATTCCTGCCTTGTTAAGAATTCTGCGCAAGCTTTTCAAGGTTCCATCTTTGTATGGAATCATCATTATGAACAGTAATAAATTGTGTTTGAAACTGTGTCATCCAGTAAATAATACTGTTTCACTGTGTGGTATATCTAATAAACAAACTAATATGGAATTACTTTTGTCTATCAACAGGCGTATTGTAAGAGTGTCATAGCAAAATAAAACATCAGGGTGGAAAGGTAGTTTAAGTATTACAGCGTATATATATGTCTTGTTACCAGATTAAATTACCCTGGTGGCTCATCCCCTAATAAATTTATTTTCTAATTTCATTTAACTTATTTTTTCTTCAGGTTGGACGTCCATAAGAGAGAATTCTCCTTGACCTTCTATGTTCTACTCACCGTATTATACATAATGACCTTTTCATTTGACCTCCTGCATATCAACTTCTGATCATTATTTGATTAGACACTAGTCAGTAACTAGTAGTGTAATGTGTCTAGTTCTATCTTTGGTGCAAACTGAATTCTATCAGTCAAGTTTGCAATATGGCCACCATGCCACTAGGTGGCTCTCCATCACAGTGCACTTCGAAATGTTGATATTAGATGGTTGGAGGTAATCGGACTATTGTTCAATAAAAAATATCTAATATAGCCCTATAGGAGGTCAGTTCCGAAACCGAATAGCTCCTCAGTGGTAAAATGACTGACTACAGGCTGCACTGGGTGACGCCGGTTCGAATCTCAGAGGGGGAACATGAGTTCCTTCGAGGCAGTTGCAGATACGCCTTGCTGACTGACTGGTGAGTGCCAACTAGCACGACACCTAGGTCAGGTGAGGCTTCCTGTGGTCGATTGCCTCCAACTATCTAATACCAACAAATTTTGATCATCATGCATTTCTTCACCTTTATGAATTTGAAAAAGGCGAGAACAACGGTGTGGTTTGTGCAGGATAATATGGTACCATCACTGTTTATTTCGTTGGCTTCTCATCAGCTGCTTACAGCCTAAATAAATTATGAGGTTTATGTACAGAAAAATTTAAACATATTTGCAAGTTTTTCCATATCAGTTGACAGAAACTTCCGCAATTAGTGAACAGTGCTCAGAAAAATTGCGCTTATATAGTTTCTACACAGGCAGTTCAAGTTTAAACAAAAATAAATGTATGCATACAATGGTAAAGGAGTTACGTAATGAAGACGAGAAGTGAGTAAGATGATGAGTAACTAATAGATTAGGTAACAATAATCTGAGTTCAACCCAAATCATAGAAACAAGAGACAAGCGAAATTACACTACCTCACAGGGAAGTGAGGGTTAAAGACGAAGATTACGTAATCAAATGAGAGAATAAAGACATCCAGTTACCAGGGCAAGGAAAGACTAATAACTGCTTCTTTCTGAACACATAAATCTGGTTTCAAGCGTTTGATAGAAATTGCTTTGGCAAACTTGAGGAGAATCGAGCTCCTTTGTCTATTGATAATTTTAAAGGATTTCACGATTTCCACCTCATAACCCGTATCGAGGAGATGTCTGGTAATAGCGCTATTATAAGAGTTTGTTCCCTTGAGACGTAGGGTTTTTGGTACATGTGCAGAAAATCGGAAGTACATGTGTCCTTCTTTCTGTTCTCCCAATGTAACTTAACTCCTACCGCAGATACACGTAAATTTGTATACAGAGCTGGAGTTAACATGAGACTGTGTTGTGTCATGTCGATTTTTGACTGCACCAAAGATCTTCCCTTATTTAGCTACGCGATTGTTACTAATTTTTGTTGCCACGCTAACAACGAATTTGTCAATTAATTTTTGAGCAACTTCTCTCTTACACTGTAATACTTCAGCTACCTTCTCAGCCTGATGATTTATCTCATCAAGACATTCTTAGAGTAAGCATGTTGACAGACAAGAGTACGTTAAAATTTTACACTAACTTATTTTATTAAAGATTACAGGTTGTACGCAGATGATGAGAACCAACGAAATTAAGTGGATCCGTGTTATTCTGCACCAACCAATACTTGTTCTTTCTCTGCTCGAATTCCGACTTCTGGAAATTATTGATATATACATAATGCAAACAGAAGAACCCAACAAATCAGGTAGCAGAACAGTAACCCGCCTATGACGATGACTGACTAGCGGTTGCGCTGAAGTTGTAATTCATGAGCAACTGGATAGTGTCCCAATGGCTGCATAGTCTACGAATTCGCCTTGCAAACCAGAAGGTTATTGAGTCCGAACCTTGATGGGTAAGTGTGTATAGCTACAGTGTCCCAAACATATACAACTAAAACAATTAGCTCCCTTTGTGAATTTAGACAAAGTAATGATCACACACACGGACTTGTCATAGAATCCTATGACATATATATATATATATGAAATTAATAAAGAGTGAAGAGGTGAGAAAATAGGCTTAGGTCAAGTTAAAGGTTGGCGTCGGTAGCACAGCGGTTTGGACGCCCGCCGACTATGCGCATGGTCCGGGGTTCGACCCCCGACCGACGCACTCCTTTGCCTCGCTAAGCCAGTAATAAGACTGGTAAAGAGGGAAGGTTGAGCATGAGGCCAGCAACCCCATCCCGTAAAAATAAACACCACTGCTGCTGAAACTTCAAACCTCTAGCTTGAAATCCCTTATGCTCCACTGAGAACGTGAAGGAATAAAAAAAAGTTGAAGGCTGTCATATTGAAGGTCAAAATAACAATGAAGATCACTAAACTAAAGAAGAGAGGTGATAGTGTGGTGAGAGCTGGCTGCTAGCCAAAGTTGGTAGACAGTAATTTACGTCAATGTTTATGTCCCCAATGAGAACAAAGACTTTGCGTAGGCGGATACAGTTAGCATATACATGACCTGACATTCAAGAAACAGCCACAAAGAGATGAAAGATTAACTTTCAGTAAGAAACAAGCAATCAGAAGACTGTGTTTGTCTGCTAACAATAATGTATTGTAATGTACACGAAAACCTACAAATATGTGTTGATTTCCTTAATAAACGAACTGTTGCCTGGTCCTTGTCTTCTGTTGTTACAATAGTACATCTACTCTGGTTGGTATCGAAACAAAGTTTACCAAGGAATGTTTATTGTAATGACGAATTGTTTTTGATGAATGCATAAAGGTGGTTTAAACTTTCTAATTGCCAACTAGGGCTTCCACAAACTTTAGGATACACCCTCGCCCAAACACGTTTCATACATAGATAGGTTTAAAAGATGTGTAAACGTCAATTTTATGTACTGTCTCCTCTGTAATATGTTTGGCAATAGAGGAGCTAGGTCTCCTGTTCTCACAATTATTAGATTCTGGGGATTCTGTTTGCTCCTGGAGACATTTAGGAATATGCTTCAGAACACATTATTTAAACCTATCTATCTATAAAACGTGTTTGGGGGAGGGCGTAAGTTTGTGGCGTTTGACGTAAATTGCTGTCTACTAATTTTGAATAGCAGACAACCCTCACCACACACTCTGAACAGTCCGTGTGTGATCAGATTGTTCAAAATAAGTGTTGTGCGCAAATACAACAGTACACGATTCAGACAAATTACGCCTTTTTATTACTTTGTCTATGCACACAATTATAAGACCGATAAACAGTATTTGATGCGTAGAAAACCATAAGATCAAAAAACATAAAGGTTATATTTACACATTCTTAATATTAACAATAATAAAAATAAAAATAATGAAGATGTTTTCCTCTCAGTGTTGTTGTTGCACCACCCCTGTTAACGACCTCCAGTAGAGGAGAGGCGGTGGGTGACGCTGTAGTATTAGTAGTACATCAAAACAAAATATCTGTAATACTGAACACTAAAAGCCTCAGGTATAAAATAAAATAAACAAAATATTTTTTTTTACTAGAAGAAAAAGAAATTTGAAGCACCAAGGAGGGGGGATGCAGGAGGGGTGAGGCAAGAGGAGGAGACAGACGGCAGAGGTGGGTGTTAAAAGTTAAGAGGTATGTTGTTGCCCAATGAATTCTGTTGCTACCCAACAACAGTAGAGGATGACAGACAAGCAAAAGATAAAAGAACAACGTAAGAAGCCAGTGTTTTTCTCTATACATGTAGAATATGCACGCACACACACACATACACGTACACATACGAATACAAACAGCGACAAAAAAAAAGGAGATGAAAAGGTGAAAGGAGAGGCTAGAGATGGGGAAAAAGGAATAAAGAACATTGGAATATTTATATATATGTGGAATACAATAAACAGATCAATAAATAAATACATACATACATACACAAATGAGTAGTATAATAACAATAATAACAACAGATCTGATCAAGTGGATTGATCATCGTCTAATTTGAAGTTTGTAGTTAATAACTGTTGAGTCAATATCTCGTACATCATACGTTTACGTATCCCTGGCATATCATCCTGGATTATTCGAAAAGAATTTGAGAAAAAAACATAGAAATAAAATAATCATTATGAGAGAGACGGAAGCCATCTGTTTACAAATATTTACATACTGATTAATTAGAATAACAGTTATAAAAAAACAGGTGATTCATCAAGCGAACAACCGACTCAATGACCTTTTCATCAAACGGTGAATTAGAGTAGTAGGCAGGAGGCTAATTTCAAGGGGGAGGAAAGCGGTATATTCACGATAAAAATTTTCAAAAAGAAGTAATAACAATAAAAACAGACTTCTTACTTGAAAGCTTTGGTAAGAATAACTACTCATACTCCCCCCCCCGCCATAAACGAACTGCTATACAGCCGAGGATGTGTAGACTTTAAGTCTTACTGTCAAAATGCTCCCCCTATGTGGCTAGACATTCATAATCTCTGCAAAATAAGTCTTATTCACGGGCGGGTGTGTTCCTCACAAAAGTGAAAGGTTGAATCCGGACTTTTGGCGCTTACAATCGAACATCCAAGTCCACCTAAAGTAGTTACGATACCCTACATTTCACTCTAGGGCCATAGTCCAAGTCGTCATTTCCCACTTGAGCGTCTGCCTTGCAAGTGATGTCACTTAACGGTCTCGTCAGCAGCATACGTTCACTAATCCATCTTCATTCCCTTCTAAACTTTTGTTGGGTGATGGGGTTTTTACCTAACAATTTGTTATCACAGTGTTTCCTGTTGCTTAGTTTTTCTAACCATTTAATCCTCCCAATCTACCGAACGCAGCTGACGGTTAATGCCTTTAGCTCGTTAGATTCAAGTAATTTGTTGCGTGGTGACTCAACAGTGGAATCCAACCAGAATGCGTATTTCGTCCTATTGGGGACTCGCCATCCGAGTATACCCGCAGTCTCCGGTCAGCGATGGTATCCCCACTGAGGCTCCGACCCAGTATCCATCGTTTAAAACAGCAAAGCGTTATCAATTAGACCAGTTACACCACGAGAAGCACCTCTTGTACAACGTCTGTCAGTCATTATTTATTTGTAATTCAATTTTTATTTTCCCGTTGATCGACTGAACCAAAATTTTCAGCCTTTGTTGAGATGAAATCAAAACTGAATTACAAATAAATTATTATCATTGTTCCCTTCGGTTCCTAGTGGAACATGGGGCTTCAAATGCACGTCTCCACTTGCTTCTATCTTCTGCTGTACTTTTCACCTGCATCCATGTTATTCCATACTGTTTCAACTCCTCTTCACACGATCTCCTCCATGTCACCCTTGGACGTCCCACTCGTCGCTTCCCTTTCGGGTTCCACTCGAGCGTTGGCCTGACGCGCGATGTCACCCAGTGGCCTCCTCAGCGAGTGTCCAATCCATCTCCACTTTCTCTTGCATATTTGTTGGTTGACGATTGGTTCTTGTTTTGTTTGTTCCCATAGTTTCTTGTCCGTGATTCTTACAAATAAATAGTGACGCTTTATTTCTACCCAGACGCTTTCTCCTTCTCCCCAGAAACGCTGCATCCTTAAATTGTAAGCAGTATTTGTCACTGGTGATAAATTTCAACATCTACGTAAAGTTTCTGAGTTTCGTTTATACTACTGATTGACTGATATGAGTAGTTGGAAACTACGCACGTAAAACAGTAGCATTTGATAGCCTGATCGAAGTGATGTTAACACCCGATGATAGATGCTTCGTTTGTTTTGGCAGCACATTTCAAGTGGCGCACTCAAAGTTTGTTTTAGCTCAGAGACACGAGTCACTTGAGATCACCAGAACTGCAGCAAGCTAGTTAGACGAACTGGTGATACATAGAATAGAATTCGGGTTTCTGTATTTCGCAACTTCGTGATATACAAAAATTCCATTAAGTGATGTTCGAATATGGTCAGGCAGAACAAATTCTCAATGTGTCAGTACCAGTCTATATACCTTACAGTAATTGTGTCACGGCTGATGATACAAAGGAGTTTTCCAAGTTGAATAAGGTGGGACAGTATTTGAACCCGGCACCTACTGTTACGAAGCCTAGTAACTGACTCACTGACTGTTTTCAACATAAAACAACTTCGCACAGTTGTGCAGAAGCACTCAAAGCAAGAGAAGAGAGAAAAGAGAGACTCAAAATAGAAAGATAATAGATAGAAGCGTCAGTAAGGGAAAAAGAATAGTAGTTTCGAAGAACGATAGAGATTTATTGGATATGACAAATCACAGAGTAAATGTATCTGCGCCATCAATGAGAAGGATTTTGAGCCATATGACCAATTGTCTCCAGCCATCATTGGTTCTTACCATCCCGAGGACCCCAACCAGTTAGAAAGTCTATGCTTCCTTTTGTGGCTGACTGGCTTAAACTAATTGTTGTGGATTTCATTGACTGACGCCATCATTTTCGGCTCGAGCACCACTAGCTCTTTCCCGACAACCTGATCCTATGTCAGTCAGCTAATACTGTCCGTTGTCGAGGAAGATGATGCCTGGGCATGCGTAGCCCAGTATTGGAGTTAAGGCAAATAAGATGCAACAGCCTCCGGAATTATAACTCAACACTTCTATTACTAAATGGACAAAAAAGCCAGCTTATAACTAAGTGATCGTACACCTTAATATATAAGCTTATGAATGAATATAGATACACAGATACTGACTAAAAACAAAACAACGGATCACTCTTAATGATCGCGCAGAAATGACTTTTAATACACTCTATGCAACAACCATGGGAACAATTGTTTACACTAGCCATCATCATATGGTAAAGCGAAAAATACTATAAGCTAATCTGTTGAGAGTGTTCGAACTCGACACCAAAAGAAGGAGTCTTTCATGCAACAGACTATGAGCCATATTAATTGTCTACGAGGACTGTGATATTACTGCCTAGTCGCACAAGATGAAGTATGTGTGCGACGTGGGGGGGGGGCGAGATTCGAACCCTGGACGCACTGCCTGAAAATCAAGTGCTTACGACAATCAGCCGCGCGTGGCTTCACCAGGTGTAAATAGGGGAACGACGCGTCCCAGAACTCTATGGTAAAGGTCACTGATTCGACTGATGCAATGGAATCAAGGTATTCCCACCGCATAATCACAAACACATTTGCAGAAGTAGATAATAATCAATAATTGAGAAATACATTATATATCCAATAAAATTACCTGACTAAAAGTGAACGGTGCACCACGAGAAATAAATTCACTGAATGTACACAGAAATACACCACAATCTGATCCATTGTACTGTTGTGGGACTGTATCCTTGAGACGGAAAATAAACAAACAAAAAAAAAAACATTTAACCGTCCAATAACAACAACAAAATAGGAATATTATTATTATGCAGAAAAGCAGAGCATTTGAACTTATGTATGTAAATGGATGTTATTTAGTGAATGGTAACTAGCAGTAGAATCCAGGATCCGTGCATTTCGTCCTATTTGAGACTCATCAACTGGACGTGCTACCTGCAATCTCCAATGAGTGATGGTTATTTAGTGAATGGGCCAACAGTAAAGAATAGATACCAAACCCAGACGACCTTGAACTTAGCCAGTCAGATTTTTCTACGTACTTAATTTATAGAAAAGTGTATATAAGTGTATATATATATATATATATTAACAATGAATTATACAAGGGTATATCTGTAAAAGAGAAGATTTGTAGCTCAGGTGGATGATTTGCAATTAATAGTGTTCCCTGGGCTGGTTGGTTTGGTTGCGGAGCTTTCGTCGCCCTCCTGCTGGACAACATCCCATTTCAGCGCAATTTTTACCATAAACTTAACTGATTTAAATTTTTTCCATGAGTAATAGAATTTCGTCTCCCGGTAACCATCTTTATATCTGCATTGATCATTTTTTATTTACTTGCATTTTAAACTTTCTGGCCTGATTTACTTTTTAGTAGTTGGTATATTTGATCTATGTTAACATGTTTGTTAATTGCATATTTGTTTGAGTGCCAGGCTTCTAGGAATTCCCTGGCACCTTTAGTGTTTCCTCTGTCTAAAATTTCAACATTATCCCAATCAAACTGATTTCCGTAATTATCTGTAAGCATTGATACGAAACAGGAATATGAATCATGTCTTTTCACAGCTGATTTGTGATCTCGGATTCTAATTCGAAGGGGACGCCCACTTGTTAATATAGACGAAATATACCAACTAATAAAAAGTAAATCAGATGACCAGAAAGTTTAAAATCCAAGTCAATAAAAAATGATCAGTACAGATGTAAAGATGGTTGCCGGGAGACGCAATTCTATCACTCATGAAGAAATTTAAATCATTTCACTTTATGCTAAATATTGCGCTGAAAGGGGATGTTGTCCAGAAGGAAGACGAAAGCCGTGCAACCAAACCAACCAGCTCAGAGAACACTATTAATTGCAAAGGGTATATCTGTCTAATATGCTGCAAAAACTGGTCCCAGATTCTTATAGAAGTGGTTACAGACACATCAAACCAATGTATTATCAATCTCTGCAGCTGTAACAGATACTGGTCGCATATACGCAATATATATACCACTAAGGGAGAGCTTTGATTTAGAGAAGAAAGTGTCTAAAACATCACCATTGTCTACGCAGTTATCAACTCTTACAGACTTCTTCACATAAAGTTTTTTTTTTTTTTTTATCCTTCACGTTCCCAGTGGAACATAGGGCTTCAAGCTAGTGGCTTGAAGTTTCTGTAGCAGTGTTTATTTTACAGGATGGGGTTGCTAGCCTCATGCCCAACCTTTCCCCTTCACCAGCATTATTTCTGGCTTCGTGAGGTAAAGGAGTGCGTCGGCCGGGGATCGAACCCCGGACCATGTGCATGGTCGGCGAGTGTCCTAACCGCTATGCCACCGACGCACATAAAGTAGTCGCATCTGAATGCATAACCATCAATAATAGCCCGGCAATGCTTTTTCAGAGTCATATGCATGCTCAAATCCTCCCTATCAACCCATTTTTCCACAGAGAAGTCAAAAACCAACTCTAGGACAGCCTAGCAACGAGGATGATGGCTACCATCCATTTGCAGTGCTGAGTTATCTGATTGGTCGAATCATGGTCATTTGACCGTGGTGTGCATTGCTTACTCTTGCCGTGAATGGTAGGTAACTAGCAGTGGAAACAAAGATCCGCACATTTTGTTCTATTTAAGATTCATCAGCTGGATGTGCTACCTGAAATCTCCAGTGGGTGATGGCATCCCCCCCCCACTGAGAATCAAACCTCACTCCTCTTCGTTTTAAACGTCAGACATCATCAACGCATCCATACAAGGTGTCGGAAATGTCAGCAAAAGCCAAACATTTAGGTGCAATCAATCAATCAAAAGAAAGGACAAAATTATGTAAGTCTGCGATACAAAATGAATTCCTTAAAAGATAAAATAACAAATATGTGTGTAACAACAGAAGACAAGGGCCAGGCAACAGATCGTTTATTTACGAAATCAACACATTAATAGATTTTCATGTACATTATTATAGATTATTGTTAGCAGAAAAACACAGTCTTCTGATTGGTGGTGATTTCTCACTGAAAGTTAATCTTTCATCTCTTTGTGGCTGTTTCTTGAAAATCAGATCATCTATGTGCTAACTGCATCCGCCTACGCAAAACCTTTGTTCTCATTTTCTCACCACTAATATTGGGGACATAAACATTGACGTCAATTACTGTCTACCAACTTTGGCTAGCAGCCAGCTTTCACCACACTGGTCCCCCCGTCAAAGACTTGCTACTGAAGTTGGTTCGGTCTTCTCGGTTCTTGGGGCTTTGCTCTTTTGTCTTGCTGTCTGGAATCTCGGCGCTTGCGGATGTTCACCTGTTCCTCTTTGTTTACCACTGCGATTGTGTCTGCGTAACCCCATCTCAACGTGACCATTTGTGGTCCTTCCCACTTTGGAAACTGTTCGCCTGACCCTGTCGCACATTCGTCGGTATTTCGCCTCACTTTCATATGCTGCTTTCTCCCGACCTCCCAGCAGCGTCTCAAGTAACAGACTCATCTCTGACAGACCTTCAACGCCACTTAACTGCGCAGAAGCCTCGAAGTCCTACCCGAAAATCCATGTCTCCATCAAAAACTGCAGGGCATAGACTTTCCATTTGTCGGTAGGTAGTGACACCAAATGTAACAACAGAAGACAAGGGCCAGCCAACAGATCGTTTACTTAGGAAATCAACACATATTTATAGATTTTCATGTACATTGTTATAGATTATTATCAGCAGGAAAACAGTCTTCTGATTGGTGGTTGTTTTTCGCTGAAAGTTAATCTTTCATCTCTTTGTGGCTGTTTCTTGAATGTCAGATCATCTCTATGCTAACTATATCCACCTACGCAAAGTCTTTGTTCTCATTTTTCTCACCACCAATATTGGGGACATAAACATTGACGTCAATTACTGCCTACCAACTTTGGCTAGCAGCCAGCTCTCACCACATATGTATATATGTAGAGATGCGTAATGCGTAATGAAGCACATTTATTCATTCATTATGTTGAAGAACGCTGTTCAACTGCTGTATCACATATGAGGTTCAAATTTCAATTGATTTTCGTCGGTTCTGGAAAAAGCATTCGATGGTATCATATATGCGATGCATAAAACAACACAATTATTGTGTCTTCGATAGCCTAATAAATAAACTTAATAATAATAATAGGGTTGGTGTTTGTGAAGTCAAATACATAGTGCGTCTCACTGAAAGACGATTGATTGTTTACTCGTATGATAGAGCATTCGCCTAAATGGTTGAAAAAAGCTGAAATCAAAGTACCAACAAGTTCAACAACGAAGTATCTTTTTTAGGCAATGGATATGATTTTGATGCTGTCAAGTCATTCGCTGTTGTCAGAAGACAAACAAATAGGAAGGTGTTTGCATTTGAAAAAGCTTGGCAAAAAAGGGTTTACAAACCTGATTTCTGTGTGTGCAGAAGGAAATGGTGGTCAATCTGAATATACCATGATAATAGTTTTTTATTATCAATTTTATTATTATTTTTATTGTTATTCTTGACGCGCTTAAAACTGTCCTTTGCCAGTACCATTATCTTAAATGGTCCCATTGTTATCATTACTATTCAGTCTGCAATTCTGCATAGATTCATGTCCCTTCTCTGATAACTAATTATATATTTAAGTGATATAACTAACCCGTTTGTACCTTGATTTTCATCTCGCATACTCCTTTTCATCACTTATCTGTCTGAACATGATCTGAGAAACATTCGTATCCGTCGTTTTGCGCAACTGATTCAATATCGTTTATTTACTCATAGGTGGGGAGTCAGAAGACAGGAACACGTTGGACCACTGATAAGAAGACTGTAGAAGATCTCGATTTCACGCGTGGATGACTTATGATTAGTGTCACACACACAAACTTGAAGACTTAAAGGCGAAAAGCAACAAACTGGTTGAAGAAGCAATGCAGCGAAAACAGGAATCCAGGTGAACATAGAGAAGACGGAGGTGATGAAAGTAACCAACCAACCAATCATCAACAGGAGAGGTTTAACAGAGGTTGCCTCCTTCACTTAAGTAGGAAGCACGGTTTCAACCACAGGCAATCGACACGGATGAAGATGTCAAAGCCAGCCAGAGTCGGAAAGGCAAGATATTCCTTCATCAACCTGAAATCAGTTTGGAAATCCTCTGCACTCCACCTGAGCATAAAGAACAAGATTCGGATTCTGTTCAACACAAATGCGAAGTCAGTCAGTTCTTCGATACCGGTCAGAAACTTGGTGCGTACATCATGAAAACGATTTCCAACAGCTTGTTGCAGACTCTTATCAACAGCTGCCGCCTTCGCTGACTGGCTGCATACTGAAGATCAAATAGCCAGACGGCTGGCCAGAACGAATTAGCAACAAGAAACTCTGGCTGGGAACAAACCAACCGAGAGCCGATCGCCCAACAAATATGCAGAAGAAAATGGAAATGTATCGAGCATACGCTGCTAAGGAGGCCGTGGAATGACATCGCGCGCAATGCAGACCATCGCTCGAGTGGAATCCCAATGGGAAGCAGCTACGAGTGGGTCATCAGTGCAAGGGTGACACATGGAGGAGATCATGTGAGTTGGAGGAGGAAGTAAGAGATTACCGTCAATCGTGGAACTAATCAGCTGAAGAGGACAGTAGCAAGTAGAACAAAGTGGAGATGTGTTGTTGAAGTCGTATGTTCCACTCGGAACCCAAGGGACTACTAATAAATCGCATATGCCACATATCTCCCAGTGTAGTTCTAATATTATATATATATATATATCAATTTAAGTACAGCATTCAGCTGAGCAGTAGTTCTATAAAAATTTGATGAATTCTTCAAATCCTGCCTTATTACCGTTTTGTTGCTTGTTTTAGAAAAATAATATCAATTAACACTAAGAAATTTGGATATGTAGAGATTTTGACAGGTTTTAGGGCAGATTTAGTGTCGAACTGGCACTGATACCCGTTTCATCCTAGTTTGGGACTCTTCAGTAGTACGCACTCAAGAACCTAACATGAACCGAACCCACAAAGCCTGCACAAGTTTTGAGGCAAGCACGTTACTATCAAGTCACCAGAGCGAAACCCAACTTGGTCAACAGCTTCACCTCATAACCTGTACGGCACTGGATCCCACCCTCTGTTGGGATTGTGGCAATTATCCAGTATTCAATGAATCTCTAATTAAGCCTGAAACTGCAGTTTATCGATTAAACCGCGGCATCTTATAACAAAATAAGGTATTGTGTATTATATAACCCAGTAGTTGATCATACTCGCCAATCACATACGTGGTCTGGAGTTCCATGCCTGCCTGGTTGACCCACACCTTAATCTCACCTAGACAGAAATAAATCCAGTGAGGAGGGTAGCTTGGGTTTACTATGATTTAGCCGACAGATGATATGACCGAGTGGATTTATGCGTGGGTAGAATAACACTGACTGAACGGGTAACTCAACTGATATATGCTAAACATACCTACACGACCTTGGTACCATTTGCCTCACTTAACCAAGCAAACAACAAAAGGCAGAGACTGGTAGCCAGTCCAACTTTCTATTTGAATGAAGGCACTTCATATTTATTTTTAACCGCATTACAATCTGCCCAGGGCAGTAAAAAATTATATATTGTTCTGTGATAGGTAGGCGATTCGGTTAGGTCCGCAGAAAAGAATTTTCTGATTGGTTGGTTAAAAGACTGGACCAAGACCAAGGTAATAGAAAGGCAATGGAATTTTACAGTCAGTCAAGGTCATCCGATCACAAGGTGATCACTATTTGAAGGCCAAATCTTATCAACAGACCTGTCGAACACATTCACTAATAATATTATAACTATTTCAATCCCGATATGTGAATTAATACACAAACTAAATAGCTGCACACCATATATTATAATCAGATAACATTCTTCTGTCAAAAGTAAAACAGAATATGATTATGTTGTAACGACAAAAGACAATGACCAGGCGACAAATCGTTTGTTGAGAAAATCAAGAGGTATTTATAGATTTTTATGTGCATTATAATTAGCGTTATTGTTAGCACAGAAGCAACCTTCTCTGATTGGTTGTTTTCTTGCTGAAGGTTCTGTTCTGTTATCTCTTTGTGGCCGTTTTTCAAAAAATCAAGCCACATATTTGTGAACCATATTTCCACACTTTAACTCCGCTGTGATTGGCTGGTGATTTTCTCATGGTTTGGCTTTGTTATTGTTTGTTTTCTTCTCGTGACCCCGATTCGGGACATGAACATTGAGGCAAATTGTTGTCTACAATTTTTGACTTGCAGTCCGTTCTCACTACAATGTGAATTGTATACTACCGTTTCAGTCGAATAAAAGCAGAAACTTTTTTCGTTTAAGTCAATTTTTGTTTTATAAGTCCACTGATTTAACCAAAATGTTCGGCTTTTAGTAGGGATGCGCTCCAACGATGCTTGTGGATTAAAATTGATGATATTTTATCCCCATTGTCCCTCTCAAGTGGTTTATTGAATAGCTTACTGGTGTTTGAAAAGAAGGGTATTGAGGTTCGAGTCTCAGTAGAGGAAAATTATCACTCACAGAGGAATGCAGACACATCCAGGTGAAGAGTCTCAGATGGGACGAAACCAGGATGTCCGACTCTATTGCTAGTTACCAATCACCAAATAAGACGGAGAAACTGTCTAAAAACCATGTGACTCAGATAACTCAAAAGGAAAACTTAACAACACAGTGTAATACAGTCATGCCACACACACACACATAAACACATATATCATGAGACTGAGTAACACTCCACACACTGATGATTACAAGTTACATAATATAAAAGCAAGTGTAAATTACTCACCTCTGTGTTAATGAATTCCCAAGAGTCTGAATCCGGGAGTTCAAGATTCCTTTTGTCTAAGGACTCATTTTTTAAATAATCCCTTGAAGAAATAACAAAAGAAAAAAAGTTTGATAATTTATATTTATATTCACATCATAGTAATAAAGGTTTTTGTATTTCCCAATAAATGAGTGGTAACATCTCTGGGTGACGTGGGTTCGAATCTCAGAAGGAACATTAGTTCCTTCAAGGCAGTTGCAAATACGCCTTGCTGACTGATGAGTGCCAACTAGCCCGAAACCTAGGTCAGATGAGGCTTCCTGAGGCCGATTGCCTCCAACCGTCTTATATCTGTAGGGCGACTTGCTACACGGTGGAGTTTCCTGGAGTTCTAGTGAGAAATCGTGACCAGTGAGGTTCAACCAGATGTCACGTGTGAGGATGGATGTCCCACCAACGACAGTGGTTGGGGTCGCACTAAATAACGAATTGGTAGAAGTTAGAATTCATGGAATGGCCATTGAGGAATCGGGTCCCAGTGGCTGAATGGTATACGAGCTTGCCTTCTAACCAGAAGGGCCTGGGTTCGAAACCTGGGTGTGGGTGCGTACTGCCGATGATTCCCAAACTAGACTGATGAAACAGCTGTCCAGTACTCCCTGTAGCTGGTTTTCAATGGTTCTCTAACTGTGATATCAATCCGTGATCAACTCGTAAAAACATAACTAACCCTTATAAACCAAACTATAGAAAAATTCAAATAGCACCATGATGGTGAACCAACTAGTGGCATCGTGGAGGCCACATTGCAAACTTGACTGATATAGTAGAATTCAGTGTCTGCACCAATCAAAGGACCGGAGGAGTGACAACACTAGTTACTAACACTAGTGTCCAATCAACAGATTAAGTGCATCGTTAAAGCTGTAATAGAATAGAACTAACAACTGACTATTAAATCTCATCATTTTAGGTTATATGCACAGCTGACCTGATACCGATGAAATAAACAAAAATGTAGCTATCTATCTGTTTTATTCTGCACACCATGTGTGGTGTTTTCTTGTTATTGATTTGTTCAAAATGTGTACTGTCACAATGAACATCAAGTATGTTTTATTAGTTCAAAAATAAAACAAAAATAACCAAAACCTGTAATTTGTAATATTCACCGTTAGAAGTTAAACAGCAAGAATTTGACAAACTATTTTGCACTTATATGACTGACTGACTGGTTTCAACATAGAACAACTTTGCACCGATGTGCAGCAGTTCCAGTCGCCACTCTCCCTCCATGTAGCACACAAAACAAGAGAAGAAAGTAAAAAGAATTGCAAAATAGAAACAGTAAACATAAATAAGAGGCAAAAAGAATAGTAATATCGAAGAACAATATAGTTTTATTGGGTATTATAAGTCACAAGGAGTGGATGCATCTGCGCCATGTTTTGGTTTGACCACCACTGGCTCTTTTCCAACCTGATCTATTCTATGTCAGCTAACATTGCCCATCGTCGAGGAAGGCGATGGCTAGGCGTGCATGCAGAACACATGCCCTAACCATCTCAGTCGATGCAACTCCACAGCCTCGTCGATTGATTTCCCCTCCCACCTACCTAGCACTCGACGCCTAACCAACTCAATATTGCTCACCCTACTATACCACTTCACACGGGAGATAGAACGCAGGCACCTAACATCAAAGAAAGCTAGCTAGCCTTTTCATGTCTTCCGCCCTCAATGACCATGTCTCAGGCATAAAGAAAGACGGAGCGGACTACTGAGCAGTACACACGCCCTTTGCTTGACAACCATCCGGATATCACGTCTACGCTAGAGACGGCGTAAACTGGCATATGCGAACCTAACCTTCCGTATTCGTGCTGAGACTTCGTCAGCGATCAAACCACTGACGTTGGCTGATGCAAATTCCCAAATAAGTGAAGTGGTCAACACGCTCTACCACTTCACTCCCTATTTCTAAACTGGGAATCAATGTAGTCCAGTCAGTCCCATAGCATCATCTTACATTTGGCCGGAGCGAATCGCGTGCCAATCATTCGAAGATTGCAGCTCAAGGTGTTCAGAAGACTCTGCCTTTTGTCAGCGTCCTCGCCTAGAAGGACTATATCACTATCTGCATATTCTAAGTCAACGAGATTATTCCCTGATAGCAAGTCAATCCCTGAGTCGCTGAAGTCACTTAGGGTTAAGTCCATTAGTACATCTATGATGAAATTGAATAGAAATGGGGATAGCGAGTATCCCTGACGGACATGACTGCTTGTCACTACTTCAGATGACAACTCGCCGTAAGCTCTCACCTCGGTGACTGTATGAATTCAAACAGAGTGCCTTGATCAATGCAATGCATTTTCTCGGCATTCCCTTCACAACCAAGCATCGCCATAGTACCTCTCGGTCGACAGAATCTAATGACGCCTTTAGGTCAAGAAATATAATGATTGTTGGACGCCGGTAACAATGGCTATGTTCTAGAATCTGTCGAAGGGTGAACTCAAATAAGAGCTTTCCTGGACATTTTTAGTTGAAGACACGTTTATCTGAGGAATCCATCCACCTCACCTCCATCACAACATCTCACTGACTGATTCTTTCTAACATGAGATATCGAATTACAGTTTATCAGAATAGAATTGTGTGTCGGTGATACAGCGGTAGAATCCTCGTCAGCCATGCAGTTGGTCCGGGGTTCGATCCCCGGCCACAGACGCACTCCTTTACCTCCCTAAGCCAGTAATAACACTTATAAAGTGGGAAAGTTGGGTATGAGGCTAGCAACCCCGTCCCGTGAACAAGAATAACACCACTGCTCTAGAAACTTCAAGCCTGTAGCTTGAAACCCTATGTTCCACTGGGGACGTAAAGGAATAAAAAAATAACAGAATTATGGAAACATATTTGTGTCATTTAAATCACTAGGCACACTTGTAAGCCTGATTGATATGATTCCCCTATCGAATTATATAGAGAATCGTAGGTAGAGGAATTGTAACAGCATTTTAGTTTTCCGCTGACAGACTACTGCATTCGTGAGGGAATGGACGTGTGAAGGTGGAATGAGTTTAAAGAGTACCTGAATCAGTCCTGAGCTCTATTTATCCACTGTTAAAACACACACACACTTACACTTGGTACATGATTGGCGACAAATGATGCGCTATACAGTCTTATAGTTTGTAGGAGGTCTTGGATATTGTCTCAACGGCCAGACTAAAAGCGTCACCCCTCCTTCCCAGGTCTTTCACTAGAAATACGAACCATAAGCCAGGAGGGCAGCATAGGGCGCTATGTTCCCATGGTTCCCGGTGATCATGGCAGGTTCATATGCCATTCGCTCCGTTCGGATTCTGGAGCCGATGTATACCATGGGTATGGAATTGGAGCTTCCAGCTCCTTCAGAGCCAAGTAAATTTGTATGTTCACCAGTTCGGTTGTAAGCAGCACCAGAGGTTCACATTCACCTTTTCACTTTTGTGAGGAACATAATAGTGTGAAGGCAGTGAATAGTGAATATCCTAAGCCATATCATAGCTTCGCTGCGAGACTCAACTATGCTAACCAGGTCATCATTCAACTACAATCAACAAGGGTAATGGCCCACGTACCATGTGAATGAATGATTAAGATTAACAGAAAACAACCTGATTGTGAGCAGTTAGTTTGATGATAGGCAGACAGTGGTCATCACAGTGAAAATAATAACCACACTGGTTAGCAGCACAGTAGGATCTTCTAACTCTGTCGATATAAAGCACTGGACTAGTAAATTTGGAGGTAGATGATTACAATGTGAAAATGACACTGTTTTATATGCCCCCCCCCCGCATAAGCGACCTAAGATGGTTAAGAGTGGGTCTTCCTCTCGAAATCCTCTTCATGTGGTCAAGCGCTCTATTCGCTGCCTTCACACCAAGGTGGTGTCCCTCACAAAAGTGAAAAGGCAAATAGGAAGGTCTGGAGCCTACAATTAGACTGCTGGACATCCAAGCCTACTAGAGGTGCTGGAAATATATCATTATTATTGTTCCCTTGGGTTCCTAGTGGAACATAGGGCTTCAACTACACGTCTCCACTTGCTTCTGTCTTCTACTGTACTTTTCACTTGCATCCATGTTAGTCCATACTGTTTCAACTTCTCTCCACACGATCTCCTCCATGTCACCCTTGGACGTCCCACCCGCCGCTTCCCTTTCGGGTTCCACTCGAGCGATGGCCTGACGCACGATGTCACCCAACGGCCTCCTCAGCGAGTGTCCAATCCATCTCCACTTTCTCCTGCATATTTGGTGAGCGATTGGTTCTTGTTTTGTTTGTTCCCATAGTTTCTTGTTGGTGGTTCTTTACGGCCATCTGATCTTGAATATAGAACGAAGACAGCTGTTGATAAAAGTCTGCAATAAGCTGTTGGAAATATTCTTTGTGACCCGCCAAGTCTCTGATCCGTACGTATAGAAGAACTGACTTGACGTTTGTATTGAAAATCCGAATTTTGTTGTTGATGCTCAGTGACGAAGCTGGAGCTGGAAATACCTAACTCCAAACCTACGGTATACATGGGCTCTAGAATCCAAACGGATTGAATGACACATTAACGTATACTGGTCACCACCAGCCATGGGAATGTATCTCCCTTGGTCTACTGCCTGCCTTGTCAATCAAACTTTAATTTAAAGGCTCAAGGAGTGATTCTTTAAGAAAACCAGCTGCGTTTGTCTGGACGTCCGGACAATACCCCAGCCCTTGGAGGAACTGCAAGATTTTGTGTGGTGCATCTATTGGCGTCAACAATGTACCAAGAAGTTTGTGTTTTCTCAACACCGAATAATAAAAAAATTATTTCACAAGTTAGGGGATTTTATCATGAGCTGACATCAGTTAGAGAACCATTCGAAACCCACCTGGGAGTATTGGACAGCTATTTCCTCTTGATTTGGGACTCTTCATCAAAAGTGGTCGCGCTATGTGTCATGAATCGCCAAAAGTTAGAATTCATGGACTGGTCATTGCATCGGTTCCCAGTGGCTTAATGGTCTACGAGCTCGCTAGCCTTGTAAACAGAAGGTCCTGGGTTCGAGTGCGTACCGCTGAAGAGTCCCAAACTAGGTTAGGTGGTTTTCCAATGGTTCTCTAACAGATGTCAGTTAGCTTATGATGAAATCCTCCAACCAATCAAATAAAATCCCGACAGAAGTAAAACCAATAAGTATTATAACACCAAGAAAGGCATGAACAAAGAAAAAATCATCAACACAAACTTACATCAACTGTTTTAAGCACTTTGTATTTCCCCCACCCATTGAATCATAGTATGTTATACTTTTGGCGCGTAAATCGATACACTTGAAAGCAATGCGATAAGCGAAATAATAATAATAATGATTATTATAAACAGATACACACATATAATATATATATAAGACAAAATATTACAAAATATTTGATCAGATCAATACACGAAGAAATGTTGACCGCATTCTAATAGCTTCTTCTACTTCCAAATTTAGTACAAAAACTAGACAGAAGTTGAACCATAAATTGTATAAGCTGGTTGTTCATAACTCTGACAGTGCAGTTTAAAATGCTCATGTGATTTTCATCCGGGAAGTGATATCAACTAGGCGAGAGACAGTGCTAGCAGTCAGCGCGTATCTCTATCCCCCCTCCACCCTTAAAGCATCAAACTTTATTGTTATTGTATTATTATTACTGTTTTCTTTAATTCCTAGAGGAACATAGGGCTTCAGCCGTGTGTCTCCATTGCGTTCGGTTCTCTGCTAGAGTCTTCACCTGGCTCCAAGTCTCCCCACACGTTTTCATCTCCTCTTCACATGACCTCCTCCAAGTCACCCTTGCACTGACGACCAACTCGCCGCTTCCCTTTCGGGTTCCACTCGAGCAATGGATTGTCTAGCGATGTCACTTGATGGTTTCTTCAGAGTATGGCCAATTCATTTCCATTTCTTCCTCCCTATTTGTTTCACAATCGGTTCCTGGTTGGTTTGCTCATTGCTAGAGATCTCTTTTGCTGATCTTTTCTGGCTGGCCATCCGATCTTGAGTAGTATTGAGCGAAGACAACTGTTAATGAAGGTCTGTAGTTTGTTTGAGATGCTCTTCATGACGCGCAGTGCAAGTCTCTGATCCGTATAGTAGCACTGACTGACTTCACATTGGAGTTGAAAACCCGGATCTTATTTTTGATGCTGAGTGCTGTTGACCTCCACACAGACTTGAGAGTAGTGAAAGCTTGTCTTGCTTTTCCGATTCTTGCTTTGATATCCTCGTCAGTTCCGCTGGCCTGTAGTTGAAACGACGCTTCCCAGGTAGGTAAAAGAGGTTGTTTCTTTCAGGTTCCTCCCATTTATGCTGATTGTTAGTTAGTTATAGGTATTATCCATCAACAGTGCTATATTCAAAGATTCAGTGTTTCAAAGGCAAATAATTGCAATAGTTTTTTTGACTTTATATCGTAAATGTGGACAAATTCCTCCGGTTAATTTTGTTTTAATTTTTAATTTTAGTTATATTTTGAGTAAATCAGATGCAATATTGTGACAAATGCTAAGAATTCCATTCTGTATTATAAGTAGTGCTGTTTTTGGAATAAAGTAGATTATTATTATTATCCACCAGACCTATGCGGCATTAAGCTGAGAACCATCGTCAGATCACATCATGTAGATCAGGATTAAAAGAGTTGACAACTGACCCGAGCGTTGTCAACTCACCACTATTCAAAAAGGCAGTGCCACTAGCATGCAAATGTAACTGGTTTTAAGCGTGACCGGGTGACGGACTCCTCTGGTCATGCACGCCATGCCTTCACATCAAATGAAAACTTATACAAAATCCTATCAACACCAAGCCAGTAGATTCTGATTAGCTGAAGGTGAAAATGAGTGAATTTGATTGATTTTGAGGCAGTTATAAAATTGTTTATACCAATAGGCGAATATGAACTATACAATCATTTATTATTATTGTTGTTCCCTTGGGTTCCTAGTGGAATATAGGGCTTCAACTACACGTCTCCACTTGCTTCTGTCTTCTGCTGTACTTTTCACTTGCATCCATGTTAGTCCATACTGTCTCAACTCTTCTTAACACCATCTACTCCATGTCACCCTTGCACCGACGAACCACTCGCCGCTTCCCTTTCGGGTTCCACTCGAGCGATGGCCTGACGCGCGATGTCACCCAGCGGCCTCCTCAGTGAGTGTCCAATCCATCTCCACTTTCTCCTGCATATTTGTCCAGAGATCGGTTCTTGTTTTGTTTGTTCCCATGGTTTCTTGTTGGTGATTCTTTCCGGTCGTCTGATCTTCAGTATAGAGCGAAGACAGTTGTTGTTGATAAAGGTCTGCAACAGGCTGTTGGAAATATTCTTGGTGACCCGCCAAGTTTCTGATCAGTACGTTTGTATTGAAAATCCGAATCATTTTGTTGTTGATGTGGATGCTGAGTGACGAAGATTTCCAGATTGGTTTCAGGTTGATGAATGTGTTTCTCGCCTTCCCGATTCTCGATTTGACATCCTCGTCCGTTCCTCCTGTGGTTGAGACAATGCTCCCAAGATAAGTGAAAGAAGTAACCTCTTTCAAATCCCTCCCGTTGATGGTGATTGGCGTTGGATGTTGCTGTTGTTGTTGTTGGTTGGTGGGTTATTTTCATAACTTCCGTCTTGTCTATGTTCACCTGGAGTCCTGTTTTTGCTGCTTCTTCGACCAGTTTGTCGGTTTTCGCTTGTAAGTCTTCGATTTTGTGTGACATCAAGCATTAATCATCCACGCGCGAAATCCAGGTCTTCTAGGTTCTTCACGTCGGTCCAGGATATCCCTATCTTCTCGTTGGTTATGAAAAATATTATTGTTTATTATCCCCTTGGATTCCGAGTGGAATATACAGTTTCAATAACACATTTTCACTTTCTTCTGTTTTCTGCCGCCCTCATCAGCTGACTAGCTCCACGACTGCCCATAATCTTTTATCTCCTCCTCCACGTCACCCTCGCACTGACGACCCACGAGTCGCCGCTTCTCATTGGGATTCCACTCGAGTGATGGCCCGCATTGCGCGCGCTGTCATTCGACGGCCTCCTCAGTAGGCTATGCTCAATCCACCTCCATTTTCTCCCACATATTTGTTGAACAATCCGCTCTTAGTTGGTTTGTTCCCGGCCAAAGTTTCTTGCTACTAATTCTTTCTGGCCGGCCGGTCGGCTGGCCATTTGATCTTCAGTATGGAACCAGCCAGCGAAGTGAGCAGCTGTTGATAAACGTCTGCAGCTGCCTGTGGGTGACGCACACGCAGTTCAAGTTGCTGGCCCATATAGAAATAGTGTTGATTTCAGCTACGTTGGGATCGATTCAATACTCTTGTCTACTTCAATCGTTCAATTTACAGACGTGTCATAATTCACATACCACACATAATCAATCAATAATTAATCTGAATACAACTCAGAAACCATATATATATATATATATATATATATATATTCACTTATAAGGTTGAGGCTGTTGTGTACGCGCCAGTAATATTGAATCTAGCTTCTTGAGTATGGAAAGCAGAACAAAACTGTGACACGGCAACCACTGGCGGGAAATAAGGCAGTTACAGCTTCGGTAGACTACGCCGTATTCTAAACTTGAAAGAGGTTTAGTTAGGCTCATGATGTGAAGTCACACTGTGGTTTATAAAACTATAAAACGACGCCGTAAATCATATTATCATCGTGTAGCTGTCGACGAGATATAACGAAGTGACTTTTTTTTCATTCTCTTGCATTTCAAGTGGAACATAGGGCATCCCCAGCTGTGACGTTTCAGCAAAGGTAGTTGTTAGAACAGACGAGCCTCTTTTATTATAGCCATGGAGTTATGATTTCTGCATGTATTGTTGACACGATAACCACACTGGAGACTACTGATTCGTTTATTTATTCATTATAATAAAGGTTGTTTTCTATATATTTCCCAATGAATGAATGAAAAAGAGCAAAACGATAGTGTTGTTTTTACTGACGTTTCGCTATTTAATGCTGCTGTCAATAGCCTGTATCAAAGTAGTATTATTAAACCAGAATTTACAAAATCCACTCAGCTTATATATAACAACTTAATCATCGCTCCTCAGCACGGGGGCATTTTCGCGTTGTCAAGTTGGCCATTTGGTAAAGATAACAAAACCAGGTGTAGATTGATGGATTTGATCAGTGTGTAAAATTATAAAAGTAGGTTGTGTTTATATAATGAAATTGCTTGTCACACATTCGTGTTGATTTTGTCATTTCATGGAAGAGGTGGATGTCGTAACCAGGTCAAATCCTGCTTTAGTTCATCGTTCATTCCTATTCAGGCAATTTGGATTCCACTTGATGTGAAGTGCTTCTGATGATGTGAGACGTTCTTTGTGATTTCTGAAATGCTTTTCTGGATTATTTCAGTATTGTCAAAATCAATCTTGAGGCCTCATTCTATAGTGTGTATAGCGCCTATGGTTGGTGATTCTTCAAGCCTTTCTAGTTCAACTGGATTTCTCAGTGGTCGAATAGAGGTGGCTCTAGAGTGCTCATTTCTATTGATCTTGATTTCTCCATGGCGATATTTACCTGATGTATATCGCATCACACATTCCAAGCATTTTATTTTATAGACACAATTAGATAGAGAATCCTTACGGATTTGATCTTTTACACAGACAAGGTTGCTTTGCAGTGTGTCTGATGTTTTGAAGAAAACCCCGATGTCGAGCTTATTGTGTACTCTTCTGATATCGTCTGATGTCTGACAACTGTTGAGGTCCATGTTTTCGGAATACGTTTTCAGCCATACTTAAAGTTTGTGTTGATTTGTTGGTGAAGTTCTTTGGGTATTTGTTTTGCTTGAGAGTCTCAGTAGAGTTTGATATTTCTTCTTCTTCTTTTTTTTCTCTTTCTCATCCGTTAACATCAAAGAGTATACTCGTTTATTTAATGCTTAAATTTCTGAGGATTTGTATGTTGCATTTTGCTGCAGTTGTTCCTGTCGTTGCTCCAGTCGTGATGACTTTTCTTAGTCTGATCTTCTTTTGTATGTACCTCAGCAGCGTGGGAGATATTTTTAAGTGATCAGTTAGTTATAGCATTGTGTTCAGGAGGCACCTTCTAGTTAAGTTAGACGAACCCTTAACACAGTATTACTTCGTCATAACAGTGGTTTTGTTTTTACGGGGTAGGGTTGTTGGCCTCATGTCCAGCCTTCCTTCTGTTCTAGATTTCCTGCGAGCTTGGTGTGGTTTACCAGTTTGTCAGCCGTTAAACGAAACCTAACCCCCAGCGCTGATGGTAAACGGTCGGTTTTCGACATAGAACTTTGCACATATGTGCGGCAGTTCAAGTCGCCACACTCCCTCCATGTAGCACACAAAGCAAGAGAAGAAAGTAGGAGAAATGCATAATATAGACAGTAAACAGAGGAGAGAGACAAAGGAATAGTAATAACGAAGAACAAAACGGTTTAATTGGAAATCATACGTCACAAGGAGTTGATGCATCTGCGCCACTGAGAACGATTTTGAGCCATGTCACGAATTGTCTCCAGCCACTGGTTTCCACCGTCCCGAGGACCCCAACCAGTCTGGAAGTCTACACCTCCCTACGTGGCTTAAACTAACTGTTACGGATTTGATTGACTGGTGCCATGTTTTGGTTTGACCGCCGCTAGCTCTTTTCCAGCCTGACCCTATGTCAGCTAACATTGCCAGCTGTCGAGGAAGGCGATGACTAGGCATACGTAGCACATGTCCTAACCATCTCAGTCGATGTAACTTCACAGTCTCGTCTGTTGATTTCCCCTCCTTACGTAGCACTCGACGCCTAACCTTAATATTGCTCACCTCATTGCACCACTTCACGCGGGAGATAGAACGCAGACACCTATGATCGAACACAGATAATCTTTTCATGTCTTCTGCCCTCAATGGCCAGGTCTCACAGCCATAAAGGAGGACGGAGCGGAGTGATGAGCAGTACACACGCCCTTTGGTCGATAGTTGGATATCGCGTCTACGCCAGAGACGGCGTAAACTGGCATATGCGAACGTAGCCCTCTGTATTCGTGCTGAGATTTCGTCGGAGATCCACCCGTTGGGGCTGATGGTATTTCCCAAATAAGTGAAGCGGTGAACGAGCTCAACCACTTTACTTCTTATTTCTAATCTAGGGGTCGGTGAAGTCCAATCCTGCAGGCATCACGAAACCAGAGACGCACAAAACCATGCACCGCTGGACAACCGTTTCGTCTCTAACTGAGACTCCTTAGCAGTACGCACTCATGACCTCCACCGGAGATCGTATGAAGGGCCTCAAGGTTATGAGGCTAGTCCGTTGACTACTTGAGTATACTACAGTGGTAATGATGCAATCTTTGTTAGACTATTTACAAAAATAGGTGAGTGGTAGTCACTTAATATCTATAACTACTAATTAGATCAATAAAAGGCATTAAAGTAGGTTCAGTAGACAGATCAACAACTGTCTTCGTTCTACACTCAAGATCAGATGGCCACCGGAAAGAATCACCAACAAGAAACTATGGGAATAAACAAAACAAGAACCAATCGCCAATCAACAAATATGCAGGAGAAAGTGGAGATAGATGGGATACTCGCTGAGGAGGCCACTGGGTGACATCGCGCGTCAGGCCAGTGCTCGAGTGGAACCCGAAAGGGAAGCGGCGAGTGGGACGTCCAAGGGTGACATGGAGGAGATCGTGTGAAGAGGAGCTGAAACAGTATGGATTAACATGGACGCAGGTGAAAAGTACAGCAGAAAACAGAAGCAAGTGGAGACGTGTAGTTGAAGCCCTATGTTCCACTAGGAACCCAAGGGAATAATACAATACAGTATATACAGTAGACAGGTCAAACTGATCTTAAAAATGCCACTTCACTTCACTTACAGACAGACACCAATGCATGCCTCTATCGTGAATAGGGACAAGTACAATATCCTGATCGAACAATTTCATTTGACGAGTCCAACGTCGTACACCAGGATAACCTCCACCATTTGGTGATGTCAGCTTTGCATAGAAAAATGTTGATAGGACAGCGAGACGAGGTAGATTTGTTTGACGTTGACTTCGATGTTGCAGTAACTGCAAGTAGAAATTGATTACCTGTAATATAAGAAAATAAATAAAAGCCAGAGTTTTAAAATAAAACGGAACTGAATTTTTTTTATCTTAGAACTTTGCACACAGCGTGTAGTACTTCATAAAAGTAGACACAAAGATACAAAGAAGAAAGGAATGCAGGGGAACTCAGAATGATCTTGAGCCATGTCACGTCACCAACAGTCTACAACTACTGACTCCTAACATCTGAGTGTAATTGATCAATAACATTCATGTTATTGTTTCTGAATGTACATTATCCTATACTGATTTCATTCAAATGTCTAGTCAATTTCCCTCATGTATATAAATGAAGGAAAGAAGTTGTGTGAGTGACTTGATATGATTATGCGCAGCAATAGTTTGTGCTCGAAACGTGGTCATCAGTTAATATTACTGTATAACAATCACTGTGTGATTTATCAAAGTAAAATCTTATCCATTATGGAGTTCACATAAAATCGATGCCAGGTTTTGGTTTGACCCCCCTGCAACTCTTTTCCAACTCTATCCTATATCAACATGCACTGTGTGACGAAGAGGGCGAGAGTATGGCGTGTGTAACACATGTCCTAGATATTTAACTCGATACAACTTCCCAAAATAACCGATTCATTTTGCCCTCATACCTAAAAATGTACGTTTAACCTTCAGTCAAAGACTAATAATCTTTTCCCCATCCTCCACTTTCAACGACTTAGTTGCATATTTGAAAGAACAGGGACAAACTGTTGCACCCATTCTGCTGGGTGATAAATCAGTCCCCCCCCCCACCGAATTGCTCACAGACAGTCAAACACAGTGACTCATAGACAGACTTACTCACCCACCGATTCCTTATTCGATGAGTTCTTTATTTTAACGAATTATTCGGTTGTCGATGGTACCTTCTCGCTCGGTCTGTTCACTTCAGTCAACCAGCAAATCAAATGTGATGATGTGAGATGAGGCAACGACTAGTGATGTGTTTTCGCTCGTTATATGGAATGACGACGTGAAATGTTGTATGCAGTTGGAATCAGTGTAAACTGTCACATGTTCATTTGACTTGGATGTTGTGTAAGTGTTGAGAGAGGCAGTGTGTGTGAGAGTGAATGTGAATTTGACTCAGGGTAACTTTGTGCTTCTGTGTGTATATCGGTGAATATGAGTGTGTTGGTGTTGGTGTGTGTGTGTGTATGAGAGTACGTACGCGTGCGCAGTACACCTGCTCTTCAACCAACAAATTACAGATGGAAAGCAAACACACTACCAGAAGCAAACAGGTCGAAGTTCGCCTCGAAATACTATTGTAAGGGATGCGTGTATGAGTTACAGAACAACACCATAAGATTTGCATATAAAGTGGGTGATAATAAAGCACAGTTAGCTCATGCAAAAGTTATAGAATCTAACAAGGAAAAGTGTAAAATAGAAAAGCGAATAAAGAAATATGACTTTGAGAAGGCCTTCGACAGCGTTGACCGCGAAGTAATTTGGAAACTACTCGAGTACTACGGCGTACCCCAAATATTCATCAAACTTATTCAACAGCTGTACGACAACGGCACATGTCAAGTGATCCACAACGGAAAACTCAGCGAAGCGTTTGGAGTAAACACAGGTGTAAGATGAATTCCATTTCCATCCTTAAATCAAGTCAACCTGTCCCGGATCAGCCTAGCATTGTTGCAACACAATTATCCATGCCCAACGTGTCTATCCCACCTTGTTTAATTAACTGTGTATGTGTGTTTTTACTTCGATCCTTTTAGTCAGACAGTTGAACTCATGACCCAATCAGAGTATTTTTGTGAACTGTTATTTTGCTGCCCCATGTCTTACTTTGTACTATTCTGTTGAGTTTATCTTATTTATTGATTGGTTAAGTAGCCAATTAAATTCTATCTTTGTGCCTATGCTTTGTCTATCTCTTACTTGGGTTCATTCTTCTACTGACTGCTTACCTGAACGGTCGTGTCTGAGCCGGCTAGTTCGTAATTTTGGCTTTAACGTTATTCCGCTCTGAAAGCGGTTCCTTGCTTTCTGTTAAGCATTGTGTATTGTACTCTTGAAACCGTTAAGGTTTGTTGTATATATATTAATTGATTTGTTTATTAATAGTACCGTAGAAACAGTGACCGGCTTCTTGTTTGTTCTGGACCGGGATAGCCTTTATCTACGCGTGACTTAATTTCAAGCGATATTGCGCTTACAGTACTTAACGTATAGAGTTAAAGTTTGCCGGATCAGCCCTTGACGGAAGAGACCGTACTGAACTGGTCAGTACTTGACGTCAAACAGAAAAGCCCGTGCCGAACTGATCAGTACTGAACGTTCATCCAGAAGAAACTGGTGAATTGGCAGCACGCAACGTTGTCGAGAATACATTTTTTCTTTGGAACAATGCAAACGAGATCAGGGAAGCAAACTTTGGAGCAGCAGTCGGAGAGTCGGCAAGTCCCCGTTTGCATAAATGATCATGTTGATATCCTTTCGTGCCCCGGCTCTCATGTCAGTAGTTCGAAACCATCATTATCGCGAGTAACTAGTGCTAAGTCGTCGCTACTAATGGCGCAGCTAAAGGAGAAACAACTTCGACAGGAGTTAGAGTTAAAGGAAAAATTGCTAAAGGCTAGACATGATGTCGAAATGGCCGAGCTGCTTGTGAAGTTAGCCGTGGACGACAAACGGAACATTGGAAATACTAAAAGAGACACTGTCAACTACGCTCGAATCAGCGAAGAGAGTATCAAAGACGACATCAGAAGGCCATATGAAGCTGAGTTTAGGGATACGGAAGAAAACGAACACTCATTTTCTATCGAAGATCCTAAGGCAATCGAGTTGGTTACTCAAAGCACCGTCTTAGAAGAGGGTCATTACATCATTTCCTTGTCTTGGAAAGATCCAGCAAAGGTAACGGACAATAATTATGTGGTTGCCATAAATCGGCTACTCAGTCTGAAATGGAGGTTATCGCGTGACAAGAACCTTTCAGCACGATATGTGGATGGTATAAATACGATGTTAAAAAATGGTTATGCCCTTCCGGTACCCCTAGAGCAGCTAGCAGCCAACTATCGCCCGAGGTGGTATCTTCCACATCATCCCGTAAAGAAACCGAAAAAGCCAGATAAACTGAGAATAGTTCTAGATTGCGCCGCAACCTTTAGAGGCTATTCTTTGAACGATAAGCTATATGAAGTACCTGATACGATTACCGAGGTTGTTGGTGTTCTGTTGCGCTTTCGAGAAAAGCCTATTGCTGTAGTCGCGGACATAGCTGATATGTTTATGCAATTGAAAGTGCCACTAGACGATCGACGAGCATTACTATTTCTGTGGTGGAAAAATGGTTTTCTAGACGAAGAGCCGCAGGAGTTTCAGATAACAGCGCATCCGTTCGGGGCAACTTCATCACCCTTCTGTGTGAACTTCGCGTTGAGAAAGGCAGTAGAGGGCTTCGGTTGCTTATATCCGAAACAGTAAGAGAGAGCTGGGCACGAGGGTTATACGGTGTACCATGATTCATAAAATCCTAGTCGGATTTTGGGGGCCGGTGTAAGATGAATTCCATTTCCATCCTTAAATCAAGTCAACCTGTCCCGGATCAGCCTAGCATTGTTGCAACACAATTATCCATGCCCAACGTGTCTATCCCACCTTGTTTAATTAACTGTGTATGTGTGTTTTTACTTCGATCCTTTTAGTCAGACAGTTGAACTCATGACCCAATCAGAGTATTTTTGTGAACTGTTATTTTGCTGCCCCATGTCTTACTTTGTACTATTCTGTTGAGTTTATCTTATTTATTGATTGGTTAAGTAGCCAATTAAATTCTATCTTTGTGCCTATGCTTTGTCTATCTCTTACTTGGGTTCATTCTTCTACTGACTGCTTACCTGAACGGTCGTGTCTGAGCCGGCTAGTTCGTAATTTTGGCTTTAACGTTATTCCGCTCTGAAAGCGGTTCCTTGCTTTCTGTTAAGCATTGTGTATTGTACTCTTGAAACCGTTAAGGTTTGTTGTATATATATTAATTGATTTGTTTATTAATAGTACCGTAGAAACAGTGACCGGCTTCTTGTTTGTTCTGGACCGGGATAGCCTTTATCTACGCGTGACTTAATTTCAAGCGATATTGCGCTTACAGTACTTAACGTATAGAGTTAAAGTTTGCCGGATCAGCCCTTGACGGAAGAGACCGTACTGAACTGGTCAGTACTTGACGTCAAACAGAAAAGCCCGTGCCGAACTGATCAGTACTGAACGTTCATCCAGAAGAAACTGGTGAATTGGCAGCACGCAACGTTGTCGAGAATACATTTTTTCTTTGGAACAATGCAAACGAGATCAGGGAAGCAAACTTTGGAGCAGCAGTCGGAGAGTCGGCAAGTCCCCGTTTGCATAAATGATCATGTTGATATCCTTTCGTGCCCCGGCTCTCATGTCAGTAGTTCGAAACCATCATTATCGCGAGTAACTAGTGCTAAGTCGTCGCTACTAATGGCGCAGCTAAAGGAGAAACAACTTCGACAGGAGTTAGAGTTAAAGGAAAAATTGCTAAAGGCTAGACATGATGTCGAAATGGCCGAGCTGCTTGTGAAGTTAGCCGTGGACGACAAACGGAACATTGGAAATACTAAAAGAGACACTGTCAACTACGCTCGAATCAGCGAAGAGAGTATCAAAGACGACATCAGAAGGCCATATGAAGCTGAGTTTAGGGATACGGAAGAAAACGAACACTCATTTTCTATCGAAGATCCTAAGGCAATCGAGTTGGTTACTCAAAGCACCGTCTTAGAAGAGGGTCATTACATCATTTCCTTGTCTTGGAAAGATCCAGCAAAGGTAACGGACAATAATTATGTGGTTGCCATAAATCGGCTACTCAGTCTGAAATGGAGGTTATCGCGTGACAAGAACCTTTCAGCACGATATGTGGATGGTATAAATACGATGTTAAAAAATGGTTATGCCCTTCCGGTACCCCTAGAGCAGCTAGCAGCCAACTATCGCCCGAGGTGGTATCTTCCACATCATCCCGTAAAGAAACCGAAAAAGCCAGATAAACTGAGAATAGTTCTAGATTGCGCCGCAACCTTTAGAGGCTATTCTTTGAACGATAAGCTATATGAAGTACCTGATACGATTACCGAGGTTGTTGGTGTTCTGTTGCGCTTTCGAGAAAAGCCTATTGCTGTAGTCGCGGACATAGCTGATATGTTTATGCAATTGAAAGTGCCACTAGACGATCGACGAGCATTACTATTTCTGTGGTGGAAAAATGGTTTTCTAGACGAAGAGCCGCAGGAGTTTCAGATAACAGCGCATCCGTTCGGGGCAACTTCATCACCCTTCTGTGTGAACTTCGCGTTGAGAAAGGCAGTAGAGGGCTTCGGTTGCTTATATCCGAAACAGTAAGAGAGAGCTGGGCACGAGGGTTATACGGTGTACCATGATTCATAAAATCCTAGTCGGATTTTGGGGGCCGGTGTAAGATGAATTCCATTTCCATCCTTAAATCAAGTCAACCTGTCCCGGATCAGCCTAGCATTGTTGCAACACAATTATCCATGCCCAACGTGTCTATCCCACCTTGTTTAATTAACTGTGTATGTGTGTTTTTACTTCGATCCTTTTAGTCAGACAGTTGAACTCATGACCCAATCAGAGTATTTTTGTGAACTGTTATTTTGCTGCCCCATGTCTTACTTTGTACTATTCTGTTGAGTTTATCTTATTTATTGATTGGTTAAGTAGCCAATTAAATTCTATCTTTGTGCCTATGCTTTGTCTATCTCTTACTTGGGTTCATTCTTCTACTGACTGCTTACCTGAACGGTCGTGTCTGAGCCGGCTAGTTCGTAATTTTGGCTTTAACGTTATTCCGCTCTGAAAGCGGTTCCTTGCTTTCTGTTAAGCATTGTGTATTGTACTCTTGAAACCGTTAAGGTTTGTTGTATATATATTAATTGATTTGTTTATTAATAGTACCGTAGAAACAGTGACCGGCTTCTTGTTTGTTCTGGACCGGGATAGCCTTTATCTACGCGTGACTTAATTTCAAGCGATATTGCGCTTACAGTACTTAACGTATAGAGTTAAAGTTTGCCGGATCAGCCCTTGACGGAAGAGACCGTACTGAACTGGTCAGTACTTGACGTCAAACAGAAAAGCCCGTGCCGAACTGATCAGTACTGAACGTTCATCCAGAAGAAACTGGTGAATTGGCAGCACGCAACGTTGTCGAGAATACATTTTTTCTTTGGAACAATGCAAACGAGATCAGGGAAGCAAACTTTGGAGCAGCAGTCGGAGAGTCGGCAAGTCCCCGTTTGCATAAATGATCATGTTGATATCCTTTCGTGCCCCGGCTCTCATGTCAGTAGTTCGAAACCATCATTATCGCGAGTAACTAGTGCTAAGTCGTCGCTACTAATGGCGCAGCTAAAGGAGAAACAACTTCGACAGGAGTTAGAGTTAAAGGAAAAATTGCTAAAGGCTAGACATGATGTCGAAATGGCCGAGCTGCTTGTGAAGTTAGCCGTGGACGACAAACGGAACATTGGAAATACTAAAAGAGACACTGTCAACTACGCTCGAATCAGCGAAGAGAGTATCAAAGACGACATCAGAAGGCCATATGAAGCTGAGTTTAGGGATACGGAAGAAAACGAACACTCATTTTCTATCGAAGATCCTAAGGCAATCGAGTTGGTTACTCAAAGCACCGTCTTAGAAGAGGGTCATTACATCATTTCCTTGTCTTGGAAAGATCCAGCAAAGGTAACGGACAATAATTATGTGGTTGCCATAAATCGGCTACTCAGTCTGAAATGGAGGTTATCGCGTGACAAGAACCTTTCAGCACGATATGTGGATGGTATAAATACGATGTTAAAAAATGGTTATGCCCTTCCGGTACCCCTAGAGCAGCTAGCAGCCAACTATCGCCCGAGGTGGTATCTTCCACATCATCCCGTAAAGAAACCGAAAAAGCCAGATAAACTGAGAATAGTTCTAGATTGCGCCGCAACCTTTAGAGGCTATTCTTTGAACGATAAGCTATATGAAGTACCTGATACGATTACCGAGGTTGTTGGTGTTCTGTTGCGCTTTCGAGAAAAGCCTATTGCTGTAGTCGCGGACATAGCTGATATGTTTATGCAATTGAAAGTGCCACTAGACGATCGACGAGCATTACTATTTCTGTGGTGGAAAAATGGTTTTCTAGACGAAGAGCCGCAGGAGTTTCAGATAACAGCGCATCCGTTCGGGGCAACTTCATCACCCTTCTGTGTGAACTTCGCGTTGAGAAAGGCAGTAGAGGGCTTCGGTTGCTTATATCCGAAACAGTAAGAGAGAGCTGGGCACGAGGGTTATACGGTGTACCATGATTCATAAAATCCTAGTCGGATTTTGGGGGCCGGTGTAAGATGAATTCCATTTCCATCCTTAAATCAAGTCAACCTGTCCCGGATCAGCCTAGCATTGTTGCAACACAATTATCCATGCCCAACGTGTCTATCCCACCTTGTTTAATTAACTGTGTATGTGTGTTTTTACTTCGATCCTTTTAGTCAGACAGTTGAACTCATGACCCAATCAGAGTATTTTTGTGAACTGTTATTTTGCTGCCCCATGTCTTACTTTGTACTATTCTGTTGAGTTTATCTTATTTATTGATTGGTTAAGTAGCCAATTAAATTCTATCTTTGTGCCTATGCTTTGTCTATCTCTTACTTGGGTTCATTCTTCTACTGACTGCTTACCTGAACGGTCGTGTCTGAGCCGGCTAGTTCGTAATTTTGGCTTTAACGTTATTCCGCTCTGAAAGCGGTTCCTTGCTTTCTGTTAAGCATTGTGTATTGTACTCTTGAAACCGTTAAGGTTTGTTGTATATATATTAATTGATTTGTTTATTAATAGTACCGTAGAAACAGTGACCGGCTTCTTGTTTGTTCTGGACCGGGATAGCCTTTATCTACGCGTGACTTAATTTCAAGCGATATTGCGCTTACAACAGGAGTCAGACAAGGGTGCTTATTATCACCAATGATATTCCTAATTGTGGTGGACTGGATTACGCGTCAGACAGTGGGAAACGAGAAGACAGGGATATCCTGGACCGACATGAAGAACCTAGAAGACCTGAATTTCGCGGATGATTTATGTCTGATGTAACACAATATGGAAGACTTACAAGCGAAAACCAACAAACTGGTAGAAGAAGCAGTAAAGACAGGACTCCAGGTGAACATGGACAAGAAGGAGGTTATGAAAATAACCAAACAACAACAACAACAGCAACATAAAGCGCCAATCACCATCAACGGGAGGGATTTGAAAGAGGTTACTTCATTCACTTATCTAGGGAGCATTGTCTCAACTAAAGGAGGAACGGACGAAGATGTCAAATCGAGAATCGGGAAGGCGAGAAACACATTCATCAACCTGAAACCAATCTGGAAATCTTCGTCACTCAGCCTGCATCAACAACAAAATTCGGATTTTCAATACAAACGTCAAGTCAGTCAGTTCTTCTATACGGATCAGAAACTTGGCGGGTCACCAAGAATATTTCCAGCAGGTTGTAGACCTTTATCAACAACTGTCTTCGCTCTATACTGTAGATCAGATGGCCGGAAAGAATCACCAACACGAAACTATGGGAACAAACAAAACAAGAACCAATCGCCCAACAAATATGCAGTGGGACGTCCAAGGGTGACATGAAGGAGATCGTGTGAAGAAGAGTTGAAACAGTATGGATTAACATGAATGCAGGTGAAAGGTACAGCAGAAGACAGAAGCAAGTGGAGACGTGTAGTTGAAGCCCTATGTTCCACTAGGAACCCAAGGGAACAATAATAGTAATACATTGTAATCACTTTTCTGAGAGAAATCCCACCCCACCCCTGATAGTCTTGGATCAGTTAGTTAATTACACTCGGCCGATAACCGCTAACTTGTTGTGGTAGTTAGGCTTGAATACCGCAGTGATCCAACAAGCTACACACTGGTTGGGATTTATGTTCCTGCACATCCTACCATGTATCAGGAAGATTGTTTAGATAGCGGTTAGACTGAAAGCAGTCACAAGAACACTGAGGTAATTTCATTTGTGTAGGGCATCCTTTTGGTGTCCCCAATGTACCGATTTTGTATTTAAAATAAAGGTCAAGTGAACACCTGTCAATCGATATACTATCGATTATTAATTTAGGCAAAAATTATAAGCAGAAAGGGAATATTTTGCAGTGACACACATTAAAACATTAAACATATACATCACAAAAAAGAAAACAAATTGGTAAACTAACCATATCACTTAACCAATTTGTACCACTTAACGTCATTAATTCACGACGTGTAACAACCAGTCTGAATTTATCTGCTAACACCTGATCTGGAGAGCCAGTACGAAGAGCCGCTTCAACCTCAGCTAATTGAGGTGCAGTTAAAACTAGAAGAAAAAACAAAAAATTAAAAGGGGTCAGGCCTAATTTATGTACGTCATTCAAAAAAAGAAAAACGCCACTACTTGTAACAGTGTCCTTTGCTAACAATAATGATATATAGCACATTGTGGTTACACTAATTCCTATGTAGATTTCGTCAATAACCGACATTAATTAGAGAATCATTGAAAACCACGAGGCAGCACTGGACAAATGTTTCGCCCTAACTAGGGACTCGTCAGCAATGGGCTCACCCGCAACCTCACTAGGGATCAAACTCCGGCGGCTCTGGGTTATAATCAATATCAACCCGTTGACTATTCACAGCCACTGGGTAGCAATTCAACGACTGCTGTCAGTCCTCTGTATAGTACAGTGAAAGAAGCGTGCTCGTAAACACTACGTGGTTTGGCTAACCAAAGAAGGAACGGAAGAGTGTCTTTAGTGAGAAAAACAGAACACCTTATGAACTTATGACAGTAAGCTTCACTTGAGAAATTCTTCAAATTCTTATAGTATAAGATTCGACCCAACCTCTTAAAGGGAGTGAGATATCAAGATAACTGAGACGTAGCTGAAGCATTAGCGATCCAAAAATTCAAGCCAATACTATGTATCTAAAAGAAGTACATCCAACCTTTATCTCAGTCATGGTCATCATAGCCATTCCATTTTCCTTAATATGCAACTTTATCTCGTTATTGCATACATTGTAACCTCTGGAACTTTCACAATCTACTGTTACATGTATTTAGAAATGTAGAGCCTAGTTGGTGAACTTCGCCGAGATATTGTTCTTCGATGCGACCGTCTCTTGGTTCACCTTGTTTGGTTTAACTGTTCATAGAACACACAACAGCAGAAAAAGGCCTTTGAATATAAAACTCAACAACATCTTAGTGATTGAGTGCCATATCTATTATTATTACTGTTCATCCGTCAGGTAAACGTAAACAAGTGACTTTCTGTCAGATAGCTACTCAAATCTACTACCATACTAACTACAGTATGCTTAAAGCGATGGACAATGGGTAACTTTTTTTTAAAATTAGGATCTTAAAAACGATTCCAGTATCCTGGCTTAGAATTATGTGTTAACGTGAAGTAGAATCAAATTGTGCGTCGGTGGCACAGTGGTTAGGATGTTCGCTGACCATGCATATGGTCGGGGGTTCGATCCCCGGCCGACGCACTCCTTTACCTTGCTAAACCAGCAATAAAGCTGGTAAAGAGGAAAGTTTGGGCATGAGGCTAGCAACCCCATCCCGTAAAAGTAAACAGGAACTTCAAGCCTGCAGCTTGAAGCCCTATGTTCCACTGGGAACGTGAAGGAATCAAATTACTAATACAAATAACCAAATATAGATTGTTGGCGATTCAGGAGTAGAATGCTTACCAACGACGCACGTGATTAGAGGTTTTGTCCCCGGCCAACACACTCCTTAAACCTAACCTAGCCGGATGTAAGCATGAAAAAGAGGGAGGATTGGAAGAAAGTTAGACTAACTACCTTAACCACCCCATAACAACAACTCAAGCGCTGCTGAAACTTCAAAGCTTAGATCTTGAAACTGAATGTTCCACCCGACACATATATATATATATATATATATTGGTCACAGGATTTCACCATGAGCTGACGTCGGTTAGAGAATCATTAGAAAACCACTAGGGAGTACGCGACAGCCAACTGTTTCATCAACCTAGTTTGGGACTCTTCATCAGTACGCATCCACTGGAGGGACTTGAACACAGGACCCGGTTAAAAGGCTAGCGAGCTCATAGACCATTAAGCCACTAGGACCCGATCCAATGACTAGCCCATAAATTCCAACTTCTGCTAATTCACCATCTATGTCAGCTCATGATTAAATCCTGTAACCAATCAATCAAATCCCTACTAACCAATGAGATGCTCATTAGCGACTGGCATTATTCAGGTAAGCAGCTACCTCGGGTTCTAGTTGGAAGCAGTGACCAGTTGAGTACAGTAGTTTGAAGGTGAGGCAGTAGCTCATCGAAGAAGACATTGCGAAATGACCGCGCTGTGTGTCATGAATTGGCAGAAGTTAGAATTCATGGACTGGCCATTGGATCAGGTCCCAGTGGCTTAATGGTCTACGAAGGTCCTGGGTTCGAAACCCTGTGGTGGGTGCGTACTGATGAAGAGTCCAAAACCAGGCTGACGAAATAGCTGGCTGTCCAGTAGTCCCTGGTGGTTTTCCAATGGTTCTCTAACCTATGTTAGCTCATGATGAAATCCTGTAACATATATATATATATATATATATATATATATATATATATATAAGCATCTTAAGAAACTAGCAAAATAAGACGTTGGCAGTAACCTGACACCAATTGGATCAATACAAACATAAACAACTACACAGATGCATATTACACGCATTCACATATACATGCATACACACACACATACAGAGAAACCAGCATAGAAACTGAATGCTCACCTGGTAGACTAGGTACTTTAGGTTCTTTAACTTTGAGGGGTTTGTATGGTAATTCAATAGGAATAGGTTGGGGGACTAAATACGGATCTTCAAGGATAGGTGGAGTTCTTAACAAACAAGCAAGTCTTTGTTCAAGATTGTCAATACGCTCTTTTTCAGCTAGATTACGCTATATAAATAAAAAGATGAAAGTGAACAGGTGAAAAATAGTATTAAGCGTGAGATTAAACAAGCAATAGTTCATGAACTTTCTATAAATATCACGTTATTTTTTTTTAAATGACCGTATATATATAAAGAGGCTTTACTTAGCTTTATGGAAACGATGTGGCTCACTGGTAATGGGTCACGGGTTCGAGAAACCGTCAAATCTACTTCAGCCTGAGCCAATGGATAGTGTGACCCTGGGTACTTAGCTTTATGGTCGGAATACTCCAAAAATATTTGAAAATACGACAACAATGTACACAAAATCGAAGGTAACTCACATCAGAGAAGCTGTAGCCTGTTGGTCAAGGCGTTGATCGCCAGTTCGAACAGAACATTACCAACAAAATTCTGAACAGTCAGTTGATATTATCAACCTTCACTCAGAAAAAGAAACCTACTACTTAATGCCAATTGTGTGTGTGTGTGTGTAAAAGCAAATAATAGCTAACTAAATAAGGAGACAATTATATATTTCATCTGTTCCAGATGAAGTCTGTGTCACAACACTATGACTAATAGTTCAGACCCCACAGATAGAGGCCGTATGACTTTTGACCAATGATAATCACAGCTTGTCCGACCGGTAAATTTCACTAGATTCATTTTGAAAACTAGCGAAGAACTAGCATAACTGAGTTTGCATACACTCTAACGCCCCCCCCTCTCACGCACCTCGCCTCACTTAAAGGGAAAACGTGACATCACAGGCTTAAATACTCGGTTTTCACAGACAGTGGGGTTAGCCCAGAGTTCGAATCTCTGCTGCTACACATACTTCAGGCTGGACAAGCGAGCAGCAGCATCAATTTGCCTGCAAACAACAAATATGACTTAAGTGGTATAAGTATAAAACTTGGAGACTGTGGTAGAGTATAACTCCATTATAGATAAGATTTTATTTTGATAAGGTCTCAGTTTTGTACAGTAATATTAACTGATGACCACGTTTCGAGCACAAACTATCACTGCTCATAATCATATCAAGTCACTCACACGACTTCTTTCCTTCATTTATATACATGAGGGAAATTGACTAGACATTTGAATGAAATCAGTATAGGATAATGTACATTCAGAGATAATAATAATAATAATAATAATCAGATGGGAATAAGACGAGTGTTTTTATAGTCATAATAAGTAACTTGATGGAATGTTATGATGTACGTGAATTGAAATAGAATATTAAGATTATTTATTATCCTCCTCTGATTTGACTGGTGGTAATAATATCTTCCATATCTCTCGTATTTATTTGCATTGAGTCATTTCTATTGCATGTGTTGGGTGTATACTCAATGAACAAGGATTCAGTAATCAATCTCTGTCTATCTCCTACCTACCTATATTACTTTCTGGAATTTTAACCCTCTCCCACCAACCCTATTGTGTGGTTGTGTGTTAATACATGCAGTGCAATCGCTGAGCGTTTTTCTAAATTACTTATCTTCTCGGGGTCAGACATTCTTACCTTAGCTAAATTCGTATGTTCCGACAATCTGACTACCTCTGACCTCAAATCATGGCAAGGTATTTTGTAAATTACATTATTTTGATTAATTAGGTCCACCGGGTCTTTTAGCCTACAGAGCTTGTCCTGTCTGATTGAGCTTGTAGGTTTGAATGCCACTCTAATTCCTGCTTTATTGAGAATCCTACCACGTAGGGTCTCAGATGTGCTTTCCTTATATGGTATAACTATAGATGCCTTATATTCTCTCTTATTTGCGTTATCATTCTTAATTTCCCCATTATTTTTATTTTGCTTTTGACCTTTTTTTGATATTCCTAATGAATTTTATAGGAAAGTTATTCAACACCAACGCTTCTTCTATCTGTTTCATTTCATCATTTAGATGCTTTTTGTACTGCTAAGTGTTATTGCTCGGTTTGTTAGACACTTAACTAAGCTAGCCTTTACAGACAACAATGGATGAGATGGAATAAAGTTCAAATATCTATTAGAATGCTTTGGTTTTTTATAAACACTAGTATTCAGTCTACTTTCTTCTATTCGTTTTATCTTACAATCTAACATCATGGCTAAGTCTCCTTGTTCACCTAGCTCCAAGTCTGCCCACACGTTTTCATCTCCTCTTCACATGACCTCCTCCAAGTCACCCTTGGACGACCAACTCGCCGCTTCCCTTTCGGCCGGGTCCCACTCGAGCGATGGCTTGTCTAGTGATGTCACTTGATGGTTTTCTCAAAGTATGGCCAATCCATCTCCACTTTTTCCTGCTTATGTGTTTCACAATCGGTTACTGGTTGGTTCGCTTATTGCCAGAGATCCCTGTTGCTGATCTTTTCTGGCCATCTGATCTTGAGTAGTATTGAGTGAAGACAGCTGTTGATGAAGGTCTGTACTTTGTTTGAGGTGCTCTTTATGACGCACCAAGTCTCTGATCCGTATAGTAGCACTGACTTCACACTGGAGTTAACAATCCACATCTTATTTTTCATGCTGAGGAGTGTTGTTGACCTCCACACAGACTTGAGAGTAATGAAAGCCTCCCTTGATTTCCGATTCTTGCTTTGATATCCTCGTGAGTTCCACCAGGAGTTGAAACGAAGCTTCCCAGGTGGGTAAAGGAATGATACTAGTTACTACTGATTTATTAGAAGGAGTAGTTGCATACTACTCACATTAACCAGTAGTAGTGCTGCCTTACTAACCATTCAGATTGAACTGACCGAAATACCAGAGACTGCCGTTCCGCTCGTTTCAGGCTGAGCTCAAATCAACGGTGTACCCAGTCATAGATTTACAAACTCCCTCATACTTCCTAATCGACTTCATCCACAGGATTGATTATAATACGGATATATCATTAATCGGTAAATTATCAAACTGTCCTAATTTGTTCATAACTGGTTTGAAAAAACAATGCGAGAAACCATGGTATGGATTCTGTGTTGTCATCATCTGTCAGAGCGTATCCACATTACATTTCTCCAGCATCAAGGCGAGAGTGTTAACCACCCACAAATCAGAGATTGATGACTTTTAATTCCTGTCAATTTACAATATAAAACACAAAATAATTGAGCAAAGAATATCCTTTTCGATAAATTCCTCTTCTGGCTCTACAATTATATACATACATATGTTAATATACATAGAATATTCGTCGTATTTCCAAACATCACCCTGAACAGTGGTTGGTTAAGTAAAGGACAAACAAAATCTATTCGCAGCGCTATTCTATCTCATCTTGTGGATACAGAACACAAGATTGATGTTAACAAGGTGGCTTTCAAATTCATCTTACGCATACCAACAAATCTTGACTTCGCCTTAAGAGTTCGTTTACTAAATATTGTTGAGGCCGTTGGGATCCACACTAAGAAGCCTAATTTATGTGTCCAAAAGAAGTTAGTTCAGACATTATCCTTACCTTAGGCCATCTAGGTTTGAATGATCCTGAATTTTTGTGCAATTTTCCTAATTTTAGTTGATATTCTATTTGCTACTATATTATTATTATTATTTAAACATCTTTAATGAACTGTAATTCTATTGTGATCATACTTTACAAATCGATATTATTTAAAAAACACTAATATTGTTACTGACTACTACTCTGGAATATTCTATATATATATATATATATATATATATATATATATATATATATATATAATTGTAGAGCCAGAAGAGGAAATTATCGAAAAGGATATTCTTTGCTCAATTATTTTGTGTTTTATAGATGTTTGAATGAATTTACAATATATCGCTGCCCCCATTCCAATCAGTTCTGCTTGAAATGTGGTTGTCATCAGTAAATATTACTGTATAACACTACCCTGTGTGACTTTGCCAAAATAAACTCTTATCTTTTCACGAGTTGACCATGGATTGATATCAGTTAGAGAACCATTGAAAACCAACCACAGGGAGTACTGGACAGCTGTTTCATCCTAGTTTGGGAATCATCGGCAGTGCGCATCCACTGGGGTTCGAACCCAGGACTTTCTGGTTACGAGGCTAGAGAGTTCGTGTACCATTCAGCCACTGGGACCCGATTCAGTGGCTCATGAATTCTAACCTCTACCAATTCGTGATTTAGCGCGACCACCAACCAATGTTATCGGTTTTGGTTCGTAAGGGTTAGTTGTGTTTTTACGAGTTGATCACGGATTGATATCAGTTAGAGAACCATTGAAAACCAGGGAGTACTGGGTTCGAATCCCAGTGGGTGCGTACTGCGTATCACAGTGGCCAAGTTTTATACTTTTATATCCCTATTGAAAATGTTAAATTACACAAAACAACACTAATATAAAACAAAAAACGACACTTACCTGTTTCTCCCAAAATTGTATATTCGCCTGAGCTAATTCATAGTCACGTTCACGTTCCTTCTTTTTATCACGATAACTTGCAGTTAAATTTTTAAGCCAACTGTCTGATAGATATGGGGATTCTCCACAACTTTCAAGCCATGCACGTACTTCTGAATCACTAGTATCTGGTGAGACAGCTGCTACTACAGTACGATCATGTACACCTAGAAGAGTTTAGCAAAAAAGAAAAAGTGGCAAATGGAAGTTGTGATGTAAATCTTTAGTAATAGGTGAAAATGTATGTTCCTATTTGGAAATTGTAGTGAAATGTTACTTAAATAATCGATTGTATTTATTCTGAATTGATTGTCAACCAGTGGTGTCCATCAGGGTGGGATGCTCACTATCTCCATTTCTGTTTAATTTTATCATATATGTACTAATGGAATTAACCCTAACTCACTTCAGAGACTCAGGGACTGACTTGTTACTGCCAGAAAATAATCTCGTTGACTTAGAATACGCAGATGGTGATATAGTCCTTCTAGGTGAAGACTATGACAAAGTACAGAGTCTTCTGAACACCTTGAGGAGCAGCAATCTTCGAATGTTTGACATGCGATTCGCTCTCCTTGTCAAATGTAAGGTGACGCTACAAGACCGGACCCCACCGACAGCTAGTGTGAAGATTGGGAGTGAAGTTGTGGCTGAGCACGTTGACCACTTCACTTATTTGGGAAGTTGCATCAGCCAACGCCAGCGGGTTGATCTGATCGCTGACGAAATCACAAACACGGATACAGAAGGCTCGTTCTGACATTTGAGAACTTGACATGATATCCGGCTGGCTATCGATCAAAGGACGTGTGTACTGCTCAGCAATTTGTTCCATCCCCCCCCCCTCCTTTATGGCTGTGATTGAGACATGGCCATTGACAGTGGAAGACATGGAAAGGCTAGCTAGTTGTCTCTGATCACAGGCGTCTGCGTTCCATCTCCCGTGTTAGGTGACAGGTTCAATAGGGTTAATAATATTGGGTTGGTCAGGTGTCGAGTGCTAGAGAAGGACGAGAAGTTAATCAATCGATGAACTTGTGAAATTACATGGATTGAAATGGCTTCGAAATGTGATACGCATGACTGACTAGCCATCGCCTTCCTTGATGGACAACATCAGCTGACATGGGAATATGTCTGTCTGTTTTCGACACAGAACTTTGCACCGATGTGCAGAAGTTCAAGTCGCCACACTCCATGTAGCAAATAAAGCAAAAGAATAAAGTAGAAGAAATGCATAATATAGACAGTAAACAGAGATCAGAGACAAAAGGAATAGTAATAACGAAGAACAATATACTTTCATTGGAAATCATAAGTCACAAGGAGTGGATGCATCTGCACGAGCCATTGAGAACGACTTTGAGCCATGTCACCAATTGTCTCTAACCACTGGTTTTTACCGTCCCGAGGACCCCAACCAGAAAATCTACACCTTCCTACGTGGTTTAAACTAACTGTTGCGGATTTGATTGACTGGTGCCATGTTTTGGTTTGACCACCGATAGCTCTTTTCCAGCCTGACCCTATGTCAGCTAACATTGCCCGTCGAGGAAGGCGATGAATAGGCGTACGTAACACATGTCCTAACCATCTCAGTCGATGTAAGTTGACAGTCTCGTCGACTGATTTCCCCTTTTTACCTAGCACTCGACGCTATCGGTGGTCAAATTAAAACATGGCGGCATCAGTCACTGAAATCCACAACAGTTAGTTTAAGCCAGCCACAAAAGGAGGCATAGGCTTGCTAACTGGTTGGGGTCGTCGGGATGCCAAAAACCAATGGTTGGAGACTATAGATGATATGTCTCATAATCCTTCTCAATAAAGAAGATACATTCACTCCTTGTTATCCCCTGTATTCATTAAATCACTTCTTCACGATACTATTCTTTCTCTCTCGTACATTCAGGGTGTTAGATATTCTCTTCAGTAGGATGTCGGGTAGAAGGTTGCCTTTGAACGCCACATTCAAGTACAGCATCTTCTTTGGTACAAAGACAGGGTGTTATTGGTTGCCTTTTGGGCTTTATGTGTTTATATATAAAGCGTGACGGATAGCCACTCTTAAGTAGTCCCTTCCTTAGCAGACTGATCACTTCTTCGACTGATTCGAAGCTGCAGATTCTTCGGGTTCTAGTCACAAGAGATAATATCAGGTTTCGCTTGTGATAGATGGATAACCAACTGTATAAGTCTGTCAACTGGTGGTTCCACGAAGGCTTTCTATGCACTGATCTGTTAAAAGTCCCATCAACATTCTTTGTTAGTCAAATATCCAGAAAAGAGCTTTTCTGTCCGGTTTATACTTCAAGTGTGAAATTGATGGCTGAGTGGGTGGCAGCTATTAATTGACCCTAACTAATTTTATCAAAATTGTCAACTGGAGAGTCAGTAATCCACTCCGGTCACCCAGATGATAACTATAAGCACACTGAGGGTGTGGCTATAATGATGTCACCAATGGTAGAAACCGTCGAATGACACCGCGTGCAATGCAGGCCATCGCTCGAGTGGAATCCAAATGAGAAGCGACGAGTGGGTCGTCATTGCGAGGGTGACATGAAGGAGATTGTGTCAGTTGGAGGAAGAGATGACAGATTATAGAGGATCGTGGAGCTAGCCAGCTGAAGAGGACAGTAGAAAAGAAAAAGTGGAGATGTGTTGTTGAAGCCCTATGTTCCACTCGGAACAATAACTAATTTTATCCTTGTTCGACAAATCCGATGTACACACACATACAAAAACAATTACATATAATTGCGATTGTACAGCTCAGCGATTGTTCAGAAGACTTCGCATTTTGTCATGCAACGTCTTCTGAACACCTTGAGCTGCAATCCACCAATGTTTGGCATGCGATTCGCTCCCGCCAAATGTAAGATGATGTTACAGGACTGGTCTACACAGACTCCTAGATTAGAAATAGGAAGTGAAGTGGTAGAACACGTTGACCGCTTCACTTATTTGGGAAGTACCATCAGCCCAAACGGGTTGATCTCTGACGAAATTTCAGCACGGATACAGAGGGCTAGTTTCGCATGTGCCAGTCTCTGGTGTAGACGTGATATCTGGCTATCGACCAAAAGGCGGGTGTACTGCTCAGCAGTCAGCTCCGTCCTCCTTTATGGCTGTGAGACCTGGCCATTGAGAGTGGAAGACATGAAAAGATTAGCTAGCTATCTTTGATCAAGGTGTCTGCGTCCTATCTCCCGTGTGAATTGGTATAATAAGATGAGCAATGTTGAGGTAAAGCATCGGTCGAGTGCTAGGTAAGGAGGGGAAATCAATCGACGAGGCTGTAAAGCTACACTGACTGAGATGGTTAGGACATGTGTTAAGTATGCCTAGTCATCGCCTTCCTTGTCGGGCAATGTCAGCTGATATAGGGTCAGGCTGGAAAAGAGCCAGCGGCAGTCAAACCAAAACGTGGCACCAGTCAATGAAATCTACAACAGTTAGTTTAAGCCAGCCAGCCACGTAGGAAGGTATAGACTTCCTGGTTGGAGTCCTCGGGACGGTAAACACCAATGATTGGAAACAATTGGTGATATGGCTCAAAATTGTTCTCAATGGCTGGCTCAGATGCATCCACTCCTTGCGACTTACAACTTTCAATGAAACTATATTGTTCTTCGTTATTTCTACTCCTTACTGTCTATATTATGCATTTCTCCTACTTTCTTCTCTTGCTTTGTGTGCTACAAGGAGGGAGTGTGGCGACTTGAACTGCCGCACATCGGTGCAAAGTTCTATGTCGAAAACAGACAGACAGATTGTGTACAGCTAAGTATGAATGAATTCCCAAAAAAGAGACTCTTAGCTGAACTGTTTTTGTCCTAAATTCGTGTCTGGATGAGTATATTTCATGAAACTATAGTATTGGTCAAATATGCTGTAGATTTACTACTAAACAGAAAAACAGCTGCTTAAGATACGTGTGTGTGTGTGTGTGCTGTATGCAGTGAAGATTTAATATGACTACCACTAAAATCAATGTGTTTGTTTTTAGGAAATAGATCACGTGTTTGAAAACATAAGACCTTGCTTGTCATTGAAAACTTATAAAAAGTCACTCAACTATATATATATATATATATATATATATATATATATAAAGGCTAAGGGTGCTTAACAGCAATGTAAAAACAGAAGAAAAGACACCACCAGTGAAAATCTCACCATCATGAGCTTCCGAAGTTATACAAAAGAGCATTTACCAAGAAACTTATAAATAGGTGAAAGTGGGGAGTGATTTATTAGGTTATTATATTATTTATTGTTCCCCTGGTTTCCGAGTGGAACATACGCTACAACAATACATCTCCACTTTCTTCTATTTTCTGCTGTCCTCTTCATCTAGCCAGTTCCACGATTGCCCATAATCTTTCATCTCCTCCTCCAACTCACACGATCTCCATATCACCCTCGCACTGATGATCCACTCGTCGCCGCTTCCCATTGGGATTCCACTCGAGAGATGGCCTGCATTGCGCGCGATATCATTCGACGGCCTCCTCAGTGGCATATGCCCGATCCATCTCTATATTCTCCTACATATTTGTTGAGCGATCAGCTCTTGCTTGTTGGTTTATTCTCAGAGTTTTCGGTTACTAATTCTTTCTGGCCATTTGATCTTTAAAATGAACTGCTGACAAAAGTCTGCAACCCGTTGGAAATCCTCTTCGTTATAAGCCAAGTTTCTGACCTGTATAGAACGACCAACTTGGCACTTGTTTCGTGTGATAGGTGTAGAAGATTTCCACACTGGTTTCAGGTTGATGACGGCGTATTTTGCCTTTCCAATTCTGACTGGCTTTGACATCTTCATCCGTTCCCCCTGTGGTTGAGACGATGCTGGCTTCCTAGATGAGTGAAAGAAGTAACCCTTTTAAATCCCTCCAGTTGATGGTGATTGGTGCTGGTTTTTCTTATTGCAGTTAGTTGGTTATCTTCATCACCTCCGTCTTCCCTAAGTTCACCTGCAGTCCCAGTGGAACATAAGGCACCTTCAAGCTATAGAGAGGTTTGAAGTTTTCGCAGCAGTGGTGTTTACTTTTACGGGGTGGGATTGCTAGCCTCACACTCAACGTTCCCTTTCTACCGGTCTTATCACCGATCGGCCAGGGATCGAACCCCGGACCATGTAAGGAGTGGTTGGCGAGCATTCTACCGTTGTTCCACCGACACAAACAACATATACATATGCATGAGAAGCTGAACCTGGTGAGAAAATAAATATGAATAAATAACAAAATCAATACTACTAAGCTTTCAACAGAACTTACCAGCTTGTTCAACTGACGACTGGAGTTTATTGTTATTGTTATTTGCAAGAACTGGAGAGAGATTACATCTGCAAATGAAACAATGAATAACCGGTAGCGGTGGAGGGGGGAAAGAATATAATGAAAAGTAGTTAACAATCGACTCCTTATTAGTTACGAATTGTCTGTTGAGACAAATGAATCATACCCTCTACAAGGGATGATGACTACGCAGAAATTGAAGCAAATCAATAAATCGATATAACTTGAAAAGCATTAATAAGGTCTGTGACAGACTTAATAATGATAACAGCTTTATTTGGTTGGAGGATTTCATCATGAGCTGACTGACATCAGTGAGAGAACCATTCGAAAACCACCACCAGGAATGCTACCAGACAGCCAGCTGTTTAGGACTCTTCATCAGTGCGCACCCGCCACCAGGGTTCTAACCCAGAACCTTCTGGTTACAAGACGAGCTAGAGAGCTCATAGACCATTAAGCCACTGGGACCCGATCCAGTCACCAGCCCATGAATTCTAACTCCTAACAATTCATGACACATAGCGCGACCACTTCGCAATGTCTTCTTCGATGAGTTACTGCCTCACCTTCAACCTGCTGCACCATACTGGTCACGACTTCTCACTAGAACCCAAAGTTAACTGGTTGAATAAGACCAGTAGTCGTTAGTGAGCATCAGATTAATTTTCAAGCATTGCTTGGAGGATTTCATCATGAGCTGACTGACATCCGTTAAAGAACCATTGGAAAACCACCGCCACCACAAGGGAGTACTGGACAGCCAGCTGTTTCATCAGCCTAGTTTGGGATGCATCAACAGTACGCACCCACCACAGGGGTTCGAAACAATGATTTTGGTGTGAATATGTAGTAGTACAGTATTGCATCTACTTTTCTTATTACAGGGGTAATAATGAGAACAGGACATTTACATTGATAATGCCGTTCAAGAAGAACATGAGTATAAAATTAAGCGAAAATATTAAAAACAGCATAATAATGAAAAAAGGAGAAAAAATTGAGCTTTGTTAATTAGTGTTTCGGAATAAGTTGGTAATGTCCCGCCTTACACATCTCTCATCACATAAACAGTATGTCAAATAAGGTATTATAGAGTTATTTATACTTAGTCATTCGAGCACAATTTTTTGTACTTGCTTTCAGTTCTACCTGATGAGATGTAATAAGAGGGTTGTGTGCAGAGAGTATACTCAGGGTCCGACAAGATGATATTCGCTAATCTCTTGCATGAGTCCATGGGTCCATCTACAACAGTGTTAACGAGTTGGTTTAGCAACACCCCACTCGCCCTACTGCCGGCTTTTAGCATTCTTCGCAGTACAACAAAGTCTTCCTTAAGCAGCCCAGGAAAGATTAAGCGGCATGGAGCAGTAAAGAAGTATAGGCAGAATACAAAAATTAACAAGCGGTAACAGTAGAGACGGAATGATAGCGAAGGATTCTTAGACGCTGGCTTTGTGGCCGGTTTGCACCAGATGGTCTAATATCGAACTGTTAATGGTTTTAACTACACCTTTACTTAGCCATAGTGGGAGATGTTCCCGAGGAAGCACGAAAAATCAAGTTCCTTTGCAACGGCCAATATAACTCGCTCCACAAGCGCAGTTGAACTGGTGGATACAATTTGAAGTGGCTGCTCTAGGTACTTCATCTTTCAGTCGAGGTAGCACCATCGGTCGTGCAGAGAATAATACATGTAGTTCGTCAGCATTAAAAGTTCTTTGAACTGATTTTCATAATTTCTTCGTAATTATCTCGCTTGGTATATCGCCCATGAATTGTAGTCGTATATATAAAGGCTTCTTGTTTAGGGATAGTGAGTAGTCCTTTTTCGCTTTATTTGTCAAGTGTTTCTTGATAAATTTGTCAGGATAGTTGTTTTCGATCAAAGTATCATCTACCGGGTGCCTAATAAATTGCCAAAAACATCGAAGCACCGCATGCTCCAAACAGCAGAGGCTATCGCAATTCGCCTCAAACAAGCAGTGCTCTGTGTCCAAAAGAAACAAGTCCAGCCACTTCTACTGCCCTGGCCGGCCTTCAGTAGAGACTATTAATTCATGAATTTGTAATATTATCTTTCCTAATTTCTCTGATATTCAGTGTATGGTGTTATGTTGATGCTATCGAACTATAATCCATTGATATTAATGATTCGATGTTACTTAAACAGCATTAATGTTGTTCATAACACTAATTCATTCATTCACTATAATGTATGTATAACTGTAGAGCCTGATGATGAAGGGGTTATCGAAAAGAGTATCCTTTGTTCAGTATCCATTCTTTTGTAAATTTTAATGGGCATTTTTAATCAGTTAAAACTAGAATCGTGAGTGAATTTTACTAGTGAGAAGGCACTGACAACTTAATAGTTACCTTCATAATCCTCTAATACAATCAGTAATCACTTTAACTACAACTTAATCAATTTATACAAGATTATGTAGTTATCAGCGTGTACATGAATCACAAACTATCTTGGTAGGTAAAGAATTCACTAAACTGAGTACAGATCATGTATGAGCACCGTGAACCAAAGCAATCATCAGTAGGGAGTAAAAATAGAAAGCGCATTTCTAACGCTTATTATTATGGCGACATAATTTGCAATTCTCCATCGAGAAAGAAAGAAATGGACAATAAACAGACATTATAATCACTCACCTTCGTAACAGCGAAAAACGCTGACTTTTATTCTCATCGTCCAAATCTATAATGATTGTTTCTCTGAGACTGTTTGACCGTTTAACACAAGGAGTCCGAGGAAATGATGCTTTATCTAACAGTCGTTGATACATTAGCCTTTGAGAAGGAATTTGACCATTTTTTAAAGGCTTTACATTTCCATTTAACGGAGTAGAACTGAACACGGCTGACTGTTTCATTTTCAAAGATTGTGTACGATTGTTTGGTAGTAAACTTTGAAGAAAGTAGTGACAAACATCACCCGGATGAATTGGCGATTTAAAACCGGCAAACGGTAACTATAAGGCAAAAGACAATTATCGTAATATGATTAAAGCTATTTGGAGAGTGAAGAAAAATAACAAGGGAAAGACATTCATCCGCGCAACAAGCAACCGACCTACACATGGTTGGCCCATAACAAACAGGACCACGGCCAAAGTAAAGCACTACGATACACAATAAAACTAAACGACCGTTTCGATAGTTAAACAAACAGCGTAAACGCAGAAGCTCGGAAAGAAGTACATCACACGTAGGAATGATGTCAAACAAAAATAAAATAAACTGAGGAATGTTAAAACAAGAAGGATAGGGAAGTAGAATATTTGTGTTATAATTGAGTAAATATAATGGCGCTAGTGCTGTTGATTTCGAGCTCCAATACCAACATTAGCTATAAATTCCTAACAATTGGAGGAACCCAGCAGTAAACCTTGTGCATCGCTTCAGTCTGTCAGACATGATATCACCAAACCCAGAAGGAGATAACACGCAAAAATATCATAATAGATTAATACGACCTCGAAGGGAGAGACTAAATGAAGTTCAGCGGTGTACAGAATTTCTATGACAAGAAGCGGAAAAGCCTACGCCGGTAGTTTTTAATCCTCTTTACCTAATGACACACTAGTAGTCAGAAACCTCGCAAATTAAAACCATTCCCAACTATCTAGTAAATCAGTTTTTCACTTAAAATCTGCCGTTTGCGTGAGTAAAAGCTTCGGATACATGTCCAGTCACAATAATTTACAACACTACTCGTTCAGCGATTTCACTACAAGAAAGGAAAATATTTATGGTCAGGGATTTGTAACCTTATTTCTTCCAGCTTACAGCAGCGCTTCAAACATGACATGTGAGAGACTGGACTCTTGAAAAGCACATTCCCTAATAGGTAGCTGAGTGTCTCACAGAGCCTAAATGAGGCGCAAAGAAGCCTTCTTATGTGTATGCTGAGGTTACATTTTCACCCTGACAGGTAGAGTTTGCGATAGTTCACCAGGCATCCGTACATTAAGAGACACTGCTAACTATCGGAACACATACAAAGCATAGTGAACTTTTGCTGAAAGAGTCCCGAGAACCTTGTCGTTTGTTAACGGTAACTATACGGCTGTATAGGGTGAAGAAAAATAACGAGAGAAAGACATTCATCCACGCAGCAAGCAACCTACATACGGTTATCCCTTAACAGGAAAAAGAATGAGATAAATAAACACTGAACAAACAAACAGGACCAAGGTCAAAGTAAAGCACTACGACACACAATAAGACTAAACGACCGTTTCGACAGTTAAACAAACAGTGTAAGCGCGGAAGCTCAGAAAGAAGTACATCACACGTAGGAATGATGTCAAACAAAAATTAAATAAGTGGAGAAGTGTTAGAACAAGAAGGATTGGGAAGAAGAATACTTGTGTTATAATTGATTTCGAGCTATAATACCTACACTAACCATCGATTCCAAACTTTTCAAGGAACCCAACGGTAAACCTTGTGCATCATTTGAATATGTCAAACCCAAAAGGAGATAACACGCAAAAATATTATAGTGAATTAATATAACCACAAAAGGAAAAACAATGAAGTTCAGTGATGTAGAGAATTTCGATGACAGGAAGTGGATAAGTCTACGCCGGTGGTTCGCAATCAATCCTCGTCAGAAACTTCGCAAATTAAAACCAATTCCAACTTCGTAGTAAATCAGTTTCTCCAATTAAAATATGTTTGCGAGAATAAAAGCTCCGGACGGTCGGTCGGTCGGTCGGTTTTCGACATAGAACTTTGCACATATGTGCGGCAGTTCAAGTCGCCACAATCTATGTAGCACGCAAAGCAAGAGAAGAAAGTAGAAGAAATGCATAATATAGACAGTAAACAGAGGTGTGAGACAAAAGATTAGTAATAACGAAGAACGAAAGTTTAATTGGAAATCATAAGCCACAAGGAGTGGATGCATCTGCGCCACTGAGAACGATTTTGAGCCATGTCACCAATTGTTTCCAACCATTGGTTTTTACCATCCCGAGGGCCCCAACCAGGAAGTCTACATCTTCCTACGTGGCTTAAACTAACTGCTGTATATTTCATTGACAGGCGCCATGTTTTGGTTTGACCGCCGCTAGCTCTTTTCCAGCCTGACCCTATATCAGCTAACATTGCCCATCGTCGAGGAAGGCGATGGCTAGGCGTGCATGCGTAACACATGTCCTAACCATCTCAATCGGTGTAACTTCACAGCCTCGTCTATTGATTTCCCCGCCTTACCTAGCACTCGACGCCTAACCTCAATATTGCTCACCTTATTATACCACTTCACGCGGGAGATAGAACGCAGACACCTATGATCGAACACAGCTAATCTTTTCATGTCTTCTGCTCTCAATGGCCAGGTCTCACAGCCATAAAGGAGGACGGAGCGGACTGTTGAGCAGTACACACGCCCTTTGGTCGATAGTCGGATATCACGTCTACGCCAGAGACGGCGAAAACTGGCGAATGCGAACCTAGCCCTCTGTATTCGTGCTGAAATTTCGTCGGAGATCAACCCGTTTGGGCTGATGGTACTTCCCAAGTAAGTGAAGCGGTCAACGTGTTCTACCACTTCACTTCCTATTTCTAATCTAGGGGTCGATGAAGTCCAATCCTGCAGCATCATCTTACATTTTATAGGGGCGAATCGCATGCCAAACATGCGGAGATTGTTGCTCAGGGTGTTCAGTAGACTCCGCATTTTGTCAGAGTCCTCGCCTAGAAGGACTATATCGTCCGCATATTCTAAGTCAACGAGATTCTTCCCTGGTAGCAAGTCAATCCCCGAGTCGCTGAAGTGAGTTAGGGTTAAGTCCATTAGTACATCTATGATGAAATTGAATAGGAATGGGGATAATGGGCATCCTTGACGGACGCCACTAGTCGTCACCACTTCAGATGACAACTCGCCATAAGCCCTCACCTGGCTGCATGAATACGAGTAGAGTGCCTTAATCAGTGCAATGTATTTTCTTGGCATTCCCTTTACAGCCAAGCATCGCCAGAGAACCTCCCGGTCGACAGAATTGAATGACGCCTTTAGGTCAAGAAATATAATGATTGTCGGACGCCGGTAGGAATGCCTATGTTCTAGAATCTGTCGAAGGGTGAAGATGTGATCAATACACCCTCTACCTGGCCTAAAACCTGCCTGGTTTTCTCGTGTTTGTGTCTCCCGAGCACCACTTAATCTACGCAGTATTATTGAGCCTAGGATTTTAGATACTATATTAGTCAAGCTAATCCCTCTGTGATTATCACAAGACGACTTGTCCCCCTTCTTGTATATCGGGATGATCAGTGACTTACGCCAACCCGATGGGACTTCCTCTGATTCCAAAAGCTCCGGACATGTATTCTATACCTCAACCAAGTTGATTAGAGGCCAAGGCATCCCCAGTCAGATAATAACTTACAACTTCAACACTACTCATTCAGCGGTTTCATTACAAGATGGGAAATTTGTAACCTTATTTCTTCCAGCTTTCGGCAGCCCGTCAAACATGAAATGTGAGAGGCTGGACATTTGAAGAGCACATCTCCCAATAGGTAACTGAGTGTCCCATAGAGCCTAAATGAGGCGCAAATTTTTTAACTGTCAAGAAGCCCTTTTATGTGTGTATGCTGAGGTTACATTTCTATCCGGACGGGTAAAGTTTGCGACAGTTCACCATCCATAAAGACACTGCTAACTATCGGGACACATTGTGGAATTTTACTGAAAGAGTTGCGAGAACCTTGTCGTTGGAACGAGAAAGAAGAAAGTCTGTCTACGACTTAACAACCTTTATAATTTTGTGAGTTATACTTGTCTGAAAAATGGAAACGAAAACGTGGGAAACACTGTAAATTCAAAGAAAATATTCCGCATACCCAAGTAAATGATTCCTTCTGTAGCTTGATATAGTCCTACCTACTTCACCTGATAAGTGACACAACAAACATCAAGAAATACAAGTACCAATACACTATCATCACGAAAAGTGCATTAATGTTTTTTACCTAATGGCAGTAATACACCGAAACCACAAGAACTCAGAGGCAAAGCTAGAAAGAATGTGAGTGGCTTTATAAGGTGTTATCACAAGTCTAAAACGGGTAGTTAAGTGAAAGCTCAATAAGAGACTGTACAGTTTTCGCTTGGGGACCATCTGAACAAGCACATAAACTTATAAGAAAAGGATTAGCATAGGCTTCAAGCCTTCTAGCCCTAATTAGTAAATCTGAAAATATTGAGTTTTGGAGAGGAAAGGTATTTATGAAAGCCCAAGAGAAGAAACTATTTGCCACTATACAACCGACAAGAAAAAGGACATCCAACTGGGCCAAAGTTCCTGGACTGGCTACTTTTAAGTAGGTACGAAATCTGTCAACCTGCGGTCCAAGTCTACCAGACGACTGAAAAAGCGGTGAAACAATACTTGCGAACAACTGTCTGTCTGTTAGTCTGAATAACTTCACTAATTATATCTATTATTATCTCTTTTCTTTTGACGACGATACGGGAGGACTAACTGGTGAAAGGATAAACTCCATTTACAGTAGTAACAGTATTAACACACCTCATACTACAAACCACATATAATTAATCCCTGCATTACTCCTTTTGGAGTCAACCAAAGATACGACAGTCGAGTGGAGGGACGAGCTACGCAGAAGTTTACCAAAGATCAGGAACCTATACCTCACGATCAAGAGGCGAGCACAAAGAAATCAAATTGGTTTATACTAGCTCGTAAAAACGATATTGGATATTCGAACTATATAAGTCAATGTGTCAGTGACATAAGAGTATAACAAAACGCTAGTAATGCGGGGGGGCATTCAATTAAGACAGTCAACACATGATACACAACTTTCTACAGAAATGCAAAGGCAGGTAGCTGTTTCCCCTTGTACATACTTCATGTTAACAGATACACATACAATGGTAATAAGTATTACTGTTGTAGGTAATTACAGTACTGCAGTTAAATAAGCCACTTGATTGGAAGTCCCTAGATAGTATCATTACCATACAGTATGGATTTAGTAACCAGTAATTCGACAGAAATTCAGACTGGCTTCGGAATGATTTTATCAAACCATGTCAGCAATAAGATGAGTACTTTGCACACATGCAAGCATAGATAGCAACTACTCTTCATTTACACCACCTGAAATTTAACTGTGACAAAAAACCTATCGGAGCGATGAATGGGCCTCACTGTTAAAAGGTGTGGACAATATATGTGGTATGACAACATATAACACATGTATGTGGAGCCCATGTGACTAAGCCAATTCACTTAATAAGTAAACAGTACACCACACTAAAATGTAGGCTATAGTAAAGTAACCTACCAGGCTTCCAAAGAAAGACCCGTTCGACGCTGAATGACTTTCGTTATCTTTATTAGCGCTATTAATATTCCGATCGAAAATACGATTGTAAACACTTGAAACACGTGATGATGTATGACTAAAGTATGTTTAGCAAGATTATCTAATTAGCTTTACCACAATCTAGGTCGTTTCGCTTCAGAACAAAACGATGTTCCGTCCTGTGATCCAGATACTGGGAGAGGTGTTCGAAAGCAGAACCCTCCCTCACTGTCTTTCATTCCAACTTGAAGGTCTCATCAAGGTCATTTACCGACCTACGTCCAAATCAACCCGCCTAGTTTATGAAATTGTTCAACATACTGAGTAGGCTGGACTGATATTTCAGGTTCTGTTAAAATTTCGCTTGGAAATTTTTTTGTCGATAAGTTTTAGTAAGCTTGTGGTATATGTTATCTGGATTGATGGGAATTCCCATTTCCTGAGTACCTAAAGGAGAACACTGTCCCAAATGGTGTTAGTATTTATTGAAACCTTTATAAGTGCTGACAGTTTTTTAAACAAGCGTTGGAAAGAAAGATTTCATGTTTGAAAACTGACCAATTTAATTCTAACATTTCGAGTGAATATCATGTTTCCACTGAAGGCAGTTTCCACAGTATTTACAAGCTGGACATTTTAAATGGATTTCAGACTAGGATTTAAAGTTACTATATCCCCCTCTGGCAAGTACTAAATTCCAGTAACTAATAAAATTAACGGCGGTATGATAATTGCCCAATTGTTTTACATTCTATGATTCATCTTTGTGAATAAGTCTCAGGAAGAAGTGAGTATAGTGTATAATCAGAGGGAAAGAAGTAATGATACATAAAACGGAATCTCTTCAGTGGATTAAGTCTAACGATGCACTCACTTCCAACATACTACATCTAAAGTAAATTTTCAGAAGTGTTGGAAAGTACATTAGATTGGGAGTATGAAAGTATCTGGGTCGTAAATAATTCACTGCGGACGCTTTTTTAGTGATTTTCAAGACTGTGATCCGTAATTCAGTTTCGTCAGAAGTCACGACCCGGAATAATTGCATAATCAACAAGCTTATGTGTGACTCTCGAGTCTGATGTGGTGACGGAATAAAACACCTAACCTCGCCTAGTTTACTAGCTCACTGGCTTTTCAACCAGTCTTAAGCCCATTGAAAGGAGGGAAAATTGGGCGTGGGGCTAGCGACCCTACGAAACAAAAGCTATCAAACTGCTACAGAAACTTCAACAAACCAGAATCGGAAAGGCGAAATGACATAGAGGGCTGGTGAAAGCTTTCGGGAAGCCAGTCTGCCGATGTTTATTCTCTCGATGATAGCAAGAATAACATTGGAGAAGCGGAATGTCCGTAAAATGCTTTAGTCTTAGAAAGCTGATGAAGTTGCCAAAGAAATGAGATGTGGCGTGTAAGTGCTAGGAATCTGTTACAACAGGTTAATGGATGTCGCCTACCCGACTAGTCAACTAGAGGGTAAAGGATCTACGCCGGTCACCCAAACGGAAACCGCGAGCACAGTGAGGCAGTGAGTGATGATGTCACCAGTGGCAGCCAAAGCCACAATGTAGGGGAGACCAACCCCCTCATCCGGGATCATGACATCAAGATTCAACTCAAATGGAAGGAAGGAAACAATTATCCAATGCTACGCAGATTGCTATAAACAACGCAGAACAAGAGAAGAAGGAAGATTTTTATAGACAACTGCAAACAGTAGTGGACAACATCCAGAATGGCGATATCAGAATCCTTATGGGCGGTATAAATGCAAGCCGGACTGGGAGCAGATAATACAGGAAGAGAACTCATCATGGGTCGAGAAGCTTTCACTAGGCGAAATGAATGAGAACAGCGAACTCTTCTCAGATTTCTGCGCTTTCAATGACTTACTGAAGCATCGTGCACAACAGTGATACACACAACATGGATTTCGTCTGACGGACATAAAACAAACCAGGTGGACTTCATTTCAATCTCAAGGACGTAGAGACGCAGCCAGCTGGATACAAAGTCGAGAAGAGGAGCAGATTTGGGCTCAGACCATCATCTAGTTCAAGGGACCTTTGACGTCAAGCTGAGGGCCTCCACAACAACTGGAAAGAAACTACAATTCAAGTTCGACGTCCAGAAACTGAAGGACAAAAGTACAAAAGACACTTTTAATGTAGTCATCTGAGAACACCCGGATACACTACGTAGCTTCACTGAGGGAACCCAAGTGGAAGGAAATTGGAAATCGTGTACAACTGTTCTAGGAAGGAAGAAGAGAAAAGATAAGGAATGGCTCTCAATGGATATCTGGAAGCTAATCGAGGAGAGGAGGATGGTGAAAAAGAAGATGACTCGATGCAAAGATAGGCAATAGAAGGAGAAGCTGAGTTCAATGTACATCGCACTGAAAAAAGAAGCGAAGAAGAGTGCTAAGAAAGACAAGAGACAATTCTGCAATACACTAGCTGCCAAATGAAGCAGAAAAGGCAGAACACAGCTAAAAGAGACCTCAGGACATTATATCAGTCTGTGTTCGGGAAGGGATCAACGCACGTGAAACCTATAAAAGATGGTCAAAGGAACCAAATAACCAAGGAGGGGAGACAAATAAAACAGCGGTCTGATCATCACCTGCAACTAGCCCAGAAATACCACCAACGGCAGTACGCAGAGACTTACCGGTGGACATTAATCCTCAAACAAAAGCAGAGATCTTGAATGCAAACAACTTAATTAAGTCCAGGAAGGCATCAGAACCAGACGGAACCACCCCTGAAAGATCTGAAAACGGACTTGGAGACTGTGTCGGAAATGCCAATATCATCATTGCAAAAGGTTTGGAAGGAAGGAAAGGTGCCTACCGATTGTAACGGTCACAAAACTATACATTCTTGGTCTTTGTCTAGAAATTTGTGACAGCTCGATTTATGGGGAAGGAATCAGCTGAATTTGTGTCCTGACCATCTGAAGGCCTTCCATCTCCAAGCATGAATTAGAGGTGAGATCTCAGCACCGAGCCTCAGTGTACAAATCGGCAAATAATGTCAAAAACTGCTTTCAACTGGAGAATTGCTTAAGGAGTTCACCATTTCTTCTCAAGCTGAAAAGTGTCTTGTTAGTCGCATGCATTTTTAATTCAGTGATTATTGGCAAATCAAGGATTTTGTTGCTAGTTTGTTGTTGGTAAATAAATTCCGACATGCTGTTTTGCGATCCCCCATCTCTGTCTTAGGCACCTAGTATTCAGGAGTGCATATGTTGAGACTTTGCATTCGACCCAAATGGCCTTAATGTGCTCCTTTACGAGCGAAGGGATTAAATGAATAGGTGAAAACCTATCATCGCTGGTCAGTCAGTTAAATATCCCCCTCTTTACAGAATAGAAAAAGAGAAAATCGTATTTTTCAGTTTGCTCTTCGCAAAATGTGCCGGATATTTCAGAAACAATGTGTATCAATATTCTCCTTGTATGTTAACAGTCAATGATTGGAAACCGAATCCCTCCATGTCTTCAGTTCTCTTTTTAGATCCAGTTAGTTTTATTAATTATAATTGTCGTCGGACTCCCTGCGCTTCCTATTTCTACTGCTGTTAGTGATATAATCAAGTCCTTCTCTTTGTGTTTGTGGTTACCTCCAAGTGGCTGGGGTACATTATTAACTTCCCAGTCAACATTTTGAAGAGTCCCCTTCAACTCTATCTGTTCTCTTAGTTCCCTCATATGTCTGTCTAACATCTTTTTATTTCTTCTGCATTTCGAGCAACCATTTCAGCCCCAATCACCGTGAGGACATTGCATATCCCCACTTATATTACTGTTTTCACCGAAAGGGGACACATCGGCATACTGGTTCTTCGAGGGCGTTCACTCGCCCAAGCAACCTAATTGAATAGTCTACTCGATTTCAGAGAAGACAAAGTTTCTTTGTTCTATGCATTTGGAGTCAAATAAGAGGTTATTTGTTTTCTACGGGAGGGGATAGCTAGGTCCACGCGCAACCCTCATCTATTTTCATACCTGAAACCACCCCATGGGATAGGCAAGATTAGATGCATTTTGCAGTAATATTCAGTATATCTAAAAAGGAAGTGGTCACTATGAGAATTTGGATAGCACTTAGTACAGTAGGGATGACACTGGGTGGATTGAGGCAATCTTCAGCGGGCCATGAATCTAGGTTTCATGCTCATGGCCAGTATTCAGGCAGGTGTACTGATAAACAAAAGGTAGTGAAATCACTGCTGTAGTCATCCAGTTCTACAGGAAAATGAATTTGTAGCTCAGCGGTAACTTCCACTGTTCCAGCAACAAGGTGAAACCAGTGCAAAACTCCATGTACCATCATTTTCTTCAAGGTAGCAGTTATGCATAACCAACATGCACGAAAATGAAGAAACCTAGGTTCATTGTTTCTTTTCCTACCATGTAGAAATAACTCATTAACGAGTCAACTACCTCGATGGTGACAGTATTGCAGACTTCACTGGTGGTATTCAACTGTCACCAGAACTAAGGACTCCACATATGATATTAGTTAGCCCCTACTGACCAACCAAAGTGGGTTCCATTACATTCGGGGCTGTCTGCGTGCCAGTGTTATGCAAGCACCTGCACGGTATATGCTGTTGTTTGACAACATAGCTGGAAGCAGCCATGCACCAATTACTTATGATTGCTAGCCAGATTCACATTGTGCGTGCATCAAACTTCCTGGTAATCTTTAGAGACACGGCTGTCTAATTTGTTGAAATACTCACATTATCCCAACTTTGGATAGATGCTTGAGTAGGTCAAACACATGGAGCGAAATTCAGTGTTTTTAGATCACACGGCCAGGTGGGGAAAATTTAGTAGTGGTTTTCTAGCATTCCAAAGAACTGGGATTATCACGATTCACTCGCTGATTAACTCCATCAGTGTCACTAAACAAGAAGTCACAAGGGTATGTAGAATGGCACATATTTGGTGGGCTGAACACTAAACTCATTTATAATACAAAATATCAAAATAAAAAACCCGAAATGATTAGGATATTTAAGCAGTATATTACAACTGTTAGTTTAAACGCGCCCAGTACGGTACAGTTACTTGCAATTAGGTTTAAATCCAACTTTCACTATTTAAATAATATAAGCGAGAGGTACGGCTCATTGTGTAGGCTTCGACATTATTTTTCTCTAGCGTGGATGAGACTGAGGCGGTGTTGAATGCTCTTTGAATGAGACGCTCCTGTAAATTTCAAAACACGGATCGAAGAATCACGTCCGGCAAGAGAACAATTGCAGAGAGCGGAAAGA